ACCTTGACATCAACAGATTTACTCCATCACAGTGACACCAACAGTGACACTATCCCAGTGACACCATCCTACTGACACCATCCTGACACCATCCCACACCACTGACACCATCACACTGACACCATCCCAGTGACACACCTTGACATCAACACATTTACTCCATCACGGTGACACCAACAGTGACACCATCACAGTGACACCATCCTACTGACACCATCACACTGACACCATCCCAGTGACACACCTTGACATCAACAGATTTACTCCATCACAGTGACACCAACAGTGACACCATTCCAGTGACACCATCCTACTGACACCATCACACTGACACCATCCCAGTGACACACCTTGACATCAACAGATTTACTCCATCACAGTGACACCAACAGTGACACTATCCCAGTGACACCATCCTACTGACACCATCACACTGACACCATCCCAGTGACACACCTTGACATCAACAGATTAACTCCATCACAGTGACACCAACAGTGACACCATCCCAGTGACACCATCGCAGTGACACCATCACAATGACACCATCCCAGTGACACACCCTGACATCAACACATTTACACCATCCCAGTGACACCAAGAGAGTGACATCATCCCAGTGACACCATCGCAGTGACACCATCACAATGACACCATCACAGTGACCCCATCAGTGACACCATCACAATGACACCATCAAAGTGACACCATCACAGTGACACCATCCCAGTGACACCGCCAGAGTGACACCATCCCAATGACACCATCACAGTGACACCGTCAGAGTGACACCATCCCAGTGACACCATCGCAGTGACACCATCACAGTGACACCATCGCAGTGACACCATCAAAGTGACACCATCACACTGACACCATCGAGTGACACCATCACAATGACACCATCACCCGCTATATAGCTGGAATATTGCTGAGTGCGGCGTAAAACTCAACTCACTCACTCACTCGACTCACTGACACCATCACAGTGACACCATCACAGAGACACCATCCCGGTGACTTGCTAAGCCCTATGATCTACAGATAACAAAGCCTTAAAACTGTCATAGCAACTGAAAACTAGTAATGAAAACACAGTTACCTCCAAAATACACTAAACACACGACTTTCAGACAATATGAACCATTAAAATGTCCATGGAATAAAAACACTTACCTTCACACACGTGAACCACTATTGCCAGCAGAACCAGTGCGTATATGACAACCTGCATAGCTAACTATCAAGGGCTCTCCCAGGTCCCAGAGTGAGTCCAACGTCGTCAATTTGCAAACTTAACTCTCCATGTTTACCTATAACTCGTGTTCTTGCACACGAGCATTCTTCGTTGGGTAACGACAATATTCGTTATGTATGCTGAAAGAATTAAATCAGGTGTCTTTCAGGAAAGGAAAAGTTAGGTCAACACAAGACCATGTATGCTCGTCGTGTTCCCGGATTGTCCTTTGTTAAGTGGGCGCATTACGTTCAAGGCAAAACGCCATCGTGTACGAATACGTGAGTGTGTATGGCAACTTATCATTAATTCCATCAATGGCGTTAGTGCAGCCATGACAATGACACCTTCAGAACAATTTTATTGGTTTTATCTTTGGGGCTTTAGTGAAATACATAACAATCAAAAGAGTGCCGTGTGTCACACTCCGGGACAATCCTGCTTATTGCACAACAGTATGATCTGGCCAGAATATACAAAACTTGATTAATGAGTTCTAAGCATAGAAACATAATGAATTATGAAATAATAATAGTCTGTTTTTGGACATAACATGGTGTCGTAGATGTTTTTTTCCACAAAATGTAGACATAATCTCAACATTCAAGATGGTATGTTTAAACCTGGAAACACTGAAGGCGGAAACATGTTAAGATGAGGCTAGGGCATTGATAATGATCCCATTCTAAGATCATGAATCTGGCGGGCAAACCAACATGTGATCATGATCGTAAGTACTGGGGGCAAATTCTTTTGTCAGTTAAAATTATGTTGTTTTTAACCGCTTCCTAAATGCTGTGTGCCATGGGTCCGAGGCCTCACAGTTTTGTATGAGTAAGTCATCTATCTATCTATCAAATTCAAACGATATCTCAGGTAACCAAACGGCAAACTAGATCTGAGCACTTGTACTTGTAATAGTCCTCACTACTCCTTGGCTCGTACTAGCCCAGACTACTCTTGAACTAGCCCAGATCGAGTACTCTTGCTTGTACTAGCCATGCTATTTTGTGCTTGTACTAGCCCAGACTATTCTTGTACTTGTACTAACCCAGGCTTCTCTTGTACTTGTACTAACCCAGGCTACTCTTGTACTTGTACTAACCCTGATTACTCTTGTACTTGTACTAACCCAGGCTTCTCTTGTACTTGTACTAACCCAGACTACTCTTGTACTTGTACTAACCCAGACTACTCTTGTACTTGTATTAACCCAGGCTTCTCTTGTACTTGTACTAACCCAGGCTACTCTTGTACTTGTACTAACCCAGGCTACTCCTCTACTTGTACTAACCCTGACTACTCTTGTACTTGTACTAACCCTGACTACTCTTGTACTTGTACTAACCCAGGCTACTCTTGTACTTGTACTAACCCAGGCTACTCTTGTACTTGTACTAACCCTGATTACTCTTGTACTTGTACTAACCCAGGCTTCTCTTGTACTTGTACTAACCCTGACTACTCTTGTACTTGTACTAACCCAGACTACTCTTGTACTTGTACTAACCCAGGCTTCTCTTGTACTTGTACTAACCCAGGCTACTCTTGTACTTGTACTAACCCAGGCTACTCTTGTACTTGTACTAACCCAGGCTTCTCTTGTACTAACCCAGACTACTCTTGTATTTGTACTAACCCAGGCTACTCTTGTACTAACCCAGGCTACTCTTGTACTTGTACTAACCCAGGCTACTCTTGTACTTGTACTTACCCAGGCTACTCTTGTACTAACCCAGACTACTCTTGTACTTGTACTAACCCAGACTACTCTTGTACTTGTACTAACCCACTAACCCAGGCTACTCTTGTACTTGTACTAACCCTGATTACTCTTGTACTTGTACTAACCCAGGCTACTCTTGTACTTGTACTAACCCAGACTACTCTTGTACTTGTACTAACCCAGACTACTCTTGTACTTGTATTAACCCAGGCTTCTCTTGTACTTGTACTAACCCAGGCTACTCTTGTACTTGTACTAACCCAGGCTACTCTTGTACTAACCCAGGCTACTCTTGTACTTGTACTAACCCAGGCTACTCTTGTACTTGTACTTACCCAGGCTACTCTTGTACTAACCCAGACTACTCTTTGTACTTGTACTAACCCAGACTACTCTTGTACTTGTACTAACCCACTAACCCAGGCTACTCTTGTACTTGTACTAACCCACTAACCCAGGCTACTCTTGTACTAACCCAGACTACTCTTGTACTTGTACTAACCCAGACTACTCTTGTACTTGTACTAACCCACTAACCCAGACTACTCTTGTACTTGTACTAACCCAATAACCAAGGCTACTCTTGTACTTATACTTACCCAGGCTACTCTTGTACTTGTACTAACCCAGGCTTCTCTTGTACTAACCCAGACTACTCTTGTACTTGTACTAACCCAGACTACTCTTGTACTTGTACTAACCCACTAACCCAGGATATTCTTGTACTTGTACTTACCCAGGCTACTCTTTTACTTGTACTAACCCAGACTACTCTTGTACTTGTACTAACCCAGACTACTCTTGTACTTGTACTAACCCAGACTACTCTTGTTCTTGTACTAACCCAAACTACTCTTGTACTTGTACTAACCCAGACTACTCTTGTACTTTGTACTAACCCAGACTACTCTTGTACTTGTACTAACCCAGACTACTCTTGTACTTGTACTAACCCAGACTACTCTTGTACTTGTACTAACCCAGACTACTCTTGTACTTGTACTAACCCAGACTACTCTTGTACATTGATTTGTAAACCAAGTCAAGTTCATAATGCTATTGTGCAATGTTGTTGTTTGTTGGGTCTTGCATGGTTTCTCACTGAGTTCTTTCGCGAATAGATTTTTGGGATAACACTTGTGTTCAATATTTTTGCGGTCGGCTCCTATCACGTACAGTATACTTACTTCCAGCTGACCAGTCTTGTGTCGCCCCCTTAAATGCTGAGAGCCAGGCAGGGTAATAAGGAGCACCGTCCTTTAACGTCTTGGTATGCTGTGGCATGACGTCATCGTGGGATTGAACCACCGACCAGACGCTCTATCCAGTAGACAACGGAGGTGAGCCTACACAGACTAAATACGTGTGAAAACAGCCTAGCGTCAACTATGATTTTGATGATGATTTTATGGAGAAGCATGTACAATGTGAATCCCCCCCAACCCCTCCCTAAAATGTATGTACAAGGTAAGTGACCCCACCCCCTGCATGTCATGTACAAAATCAATGACACCCCTCTAGTATAGGTGTACAAAATTTATGAGTCCCCAACTCTCCCCTGAAAAAAATGTATGACACCCCCACTCCTAAAATCATCATTACACCCTAGAAGTAAATTATGGACCGTCCCTAACACACATATATGTAACTAGTCCGACAAATCACTGCACATGTAACCTGCACGTATAACCCGGTCCCATAACCCGTGTAACCACATATGTCATGTTCGCCTTTCCCTAACTTTTATTAGATTTGAAACAAATGATAAGTTCATACGAACAACCGTTCACGCAAGTGGCCCGAAACGCAAATATATTCCTAATTTGGAAATAATGGAAATAAATATATCCAATTTCTTTCAAAGTCTAAATCTAAATATGTATGTTTATTCATTTTGAAAGAATATGGTCGCTGACAGTCAGTCAACACGGGATCAGTCCATTACGAACCGATCCTGTCAGGAGGGCCGAAGAGGGTTTGCTCCAATGGTTTGTGCTCTATATTTGATACTCTGCGCAGTACAAAAAGAAGCACACCGTAAACCTGGGAGTAACTTCCGGGTCCTGAACGTCGGTGATAAATATTTATCGCTTTGGAATATGTAAATAACAGTACATTGATGTAGACAATGCTGCATAATATAAAACGGGATTTGGAATAACTTACACTCGTCTGATTAAAGGTAAGACGCCCTTTTTGTTCGAATCAATCCACGCGACACCAGCGATCAGTCGAAGACCCGGTCAGAAATTGAGAATTGAAATTCTTCCAAAATGTTATACAATGAATTTTATTCATGGTAGATGCAAACAAATACCTCATCATGACTTTGGGGACGTTTTTGGATATCCGTACTTACATCTTCCTCGTGATGGGCATAAGTTATTTGTTTGGTGGATTGTTTTTAGGGTTGGATAGATTGCCAAACGAACAGGCATTTATGATTTACGAAACCAGATTCTATCAAACTCTGAACATAAAAACATTAGTGCTTGCCACTGTATGTAAATGTTGAAGAGTTATCAGGTTGGTGTGATAACAATTCCCAACGCCTTAACCCTGTCATTTTAGTGCTTATATATTATAGTTTATCAGAGCTCCAGATAAGATTTAGCTCATGTGGGTACTGTACCCACTGTATTTTTTAGAGTGGGTATTATGAATGTTGAGTGGGTATTTCATTTTCCGTTACCCACTGCTTTCAAATATGTGCGTATTTCAGTCATTTTACTCACCTAAGTATTATGTCATTGAGTAAGTTTACTAAGCAGGTATGTTCTGCCTTATGTCATACCTAATCAAAACCAAAAAATCACTCATCCTATACTGACAGTACAACACTTGTCCTATACTAACAGTACAACTTGATAGCAATCGATGTCTTTTTCATAACGCAAGCGATTTTAATAAATATATTCTGTATGCATTTGTTTTAAACTTTTTATGTATCTAACATTTTAAATGTGAATTGGTACGCAAAGAATTATTTTCAATGCGTGGTTGGAAATTTTCTATGCATATTTTATCCGGATACGCAGCTTATCTGGGCCTCTGGTTTATAATAAATTGAATAATTTGAATTGAATAATTTTTTCACCCATCAATTGGGCTGTCTAGCTGTAAAATTAGATTTGTCCGGCAGAAATCTAGCCCGTCTCAGGGCGGTCGGACAGGCCTTTTTTACACTGGTTTCAATAATTCCCAACTCAAACCTTACCCAATGGAATCACTTTGCAATGATCTCCCCATTTAAATCAATTGGCTTAGGCACATCTTTCTGATAAAACAACCTTTCTGATAAAACAACTTTCTGATCAAACACCCTTCACCATGTTCACCATATTCACTTTCCCATGTGTGAGTTAGAGTCGGGTACCCCAAACTTATCAAACACCCCTTTGGGTCCCAACGACTTGTTTTACATTCAAGTCAAAATGGACAAACCAAGCTACTTTTTTCATGAACTAAGGTCCCTTAGAGTTTGTTTTAATCATAGTCTGCTGTATGCTTATTTTGTAATCAATACAGTACATATGTTAAACATGGGGTTTTAATTACCTTCTTTCAAGGTTTTATCAGAATCTTAGCTGACATTCAGGTAGTATTTATTGAAAATGTGTCATGGTATATGTATCTATGAAACACAAATACATGCAACTTTTGCAGGAGGCTCCCTCTTGCATCTCAGACGAGACATGTAAACGTCTCCTACAACATCACGTACTACCTCAGCTGTGTACACGATGCGGTTCAACAGCAAGGAGCTGGCATATGTAGCCACCCACTCCACCACTGTGGACAAAGAAGGCGTTCTTCGCATGAAAGACAAACAAGATGGACTATTCAAGAAGGGAGAAAGTAGGTGTTAATCTGCCTGAACCAGTTCATTCACAGACGATTTGCCACACATTTAAGCCTGTTTGAAATTTCAGTGTATTCTACAAACATATGCTGTGTTTGAAATGAAGGGAGCTATGGGTTTGAGGCTATGATGTTTTTATTTAAGGATTACTAAATTTGTAGATTTTAATCAAGCTAAACATTGAGCCTATGATTTGTTACAATATGTTTGGCTTAAAATTCTGTGCAGGAGGTAACAAATATATACCAACAACTTTCAATTTCCAGATTAGAGCTGCCACAAATGAATGAAAGCAATTAATTCTTATTGGGTTGTTTGTTACAATGAACAAGTTTTATACATATCATTCAGCATTTCTTATGAAGAACCGGGGGCGGTGGGGTAGCCTAGTGGTTAAAGCGTTGGCTCATCATGCCGAGGACCCGGGTTCGATTCCCCACATGGGTACAGTGTGTGAAGCCCATTTCTGGTGTCCCCCGCCGTGATATTGCTGGAATATTGCTAAAAGCGGTGTAAAACCATACTCAATCAATCAATCAATTATGAAGAACCGTAATAAAATCTCATGTTGTTTTTGCCTTATTCATCACTGTACAGTGACCTGTAAAACAGTGTTGGACAACAGCACACTCCGGCACAGCAATGACTAACATAACATCACTGCCACAGACTAATTTGCATATCACGTGACCGGACTTTTCTCTTGTTTGTAAAAAACGTGCATATTCATAATAAGAAGAGACTGGACTCATGAAAGCTTTTCGGCGCTCTCTTCATATTGTTTTACATTGTTACATATATATTCTTCCACAACTGCAACAGTAAGGTCTACGACAGTATATATTTAGATATCAAACTGGCTGCATCGTTTGCTCTCCATCAGCTTCGATGACAGCACATGGAGCCGCACAACCTATGTAAACAGAATCGCTACGCAAATCGAAATAGTGTTACATGTTTTTGGATATTTTCTCAGTGAAACTAAACCATTCTATTAAAGATGTTTAGTTAGATGTGTAGACTCGTAAAAATAAAAGAGTAAAAGAAATTTGTACATTATATTAAATGGACATTGCAAGATGTGACGAATCGTCACATTTTTCTGGCCTGTGGCAGAGGTACTATGCTGGCTTGCCGCATGGAACTCTGGGTAGAAGAGTGGGACAATAGTAGGTTATACCTTATATCATGTACTTTATATCATGTACCAAGTAAAAATGCCGGTTTTGACAGAGTGCGGTTTAGCTAGGTTTCGCTTATGACGCTTCGCGCACACGGAAGTTCGCTGTCGTGACTGTCACTTTAGCATTAACAAGATGTTTGAATAAGAAACAAGGCAGTGCCTGAATGCACATTCATGTTGTTTAAATCAAATAAAAATGTCTGAAATCTCTTTATTAAATTTCAACTGATCATATATTATCGGCAGAATTAAAATTATAAACTATTTTTCTAACGCTATTGCAAACAAGCGATTCTTGTTTATGCTTCTCGCAGCGGTCCACAATAGCATTGTCAAAGAGCAAAGTAACGATGTTTCAAACATCGAGGAAATCATTAAATAAATTGAAATCAACAATAACATTCATAAAAGTTGTCAAACGTATATATAAAATTACTATTTCCATTCTTTTGAGCCGATCATGCAATGTAAGTCAAGTCACTGACAAGTTACATCTCGCTTTCACACGATGCTTAATGTGAAAATATATGCTGAAGCATTTTGTCATAGGCCATAACCTAGCACCGATATGTCCAATACGCTCCATGATTTACGATAGGTAGCGATGTCTTTCTTAATATGTTCAGAATAGCATTATTTTACCCAAAACTTTCGCCTTAATCTAAAACTTTTCGCTTCACGAGGACGGTATCCATTTCCATAATATGATTGGCTGCTTAGGTCACGGTCTGATTTTGACCAATCACGACCCTTATAAGCAAAGTGTAGTGAAAAGCCGCCGTTAGGAAACCAATCTTTATCCAATAAAATCGCTTCTTACAAATGTGAAAATACTCGCAAGAGTACAGTGATATTGTTGATGTTCAGAGCTTTGAACGATACACGCATCATCAAACGATTCGCCTCTATGTAAGTGACACGCGTGCACTCACTAATTAACAAGAAACTGATTGATACTTCCCCGCTTCTGAATAATCTCGAGTCAATACCCGCTGAATCAACAAAATGTAAACACTTGCTTGTTTATACAGTCAAACTGCCCACTACATGTATTAATTACTCTGGGTAAGTGTTACATTACCACTCACTGATTAACGGGATACTGATTAACACTTCCCGCTTCTGAATAATCTCGGAGTCACAGCCAATTGTGTTGTTACATCATTTGGACCTAATTGCATCAAAGGGTTACGCCGTCTTTCATGTGCCGGTTTTACAGATTCGTTTTCATAACAACTTGTTCGTTGGGACTGAAAACAATGCCGATATCCTGAATAGACAGATGCCGATGTTTACAGAAGTTTCTTAATGATAATAACGTGCATTTCTGCCGGACTGAAACTTTGTGCCGATGTAGACAGAGTGCCGGTGTTAAGAGAGGCCGTATTGACAGAGTCCACTGTATATGGTAGTCATGCTGTTATCAAGGTATATCGAGTGTAAATGTGGGCGTTTCTTTCATAACGATTCTTAAAATATATTGTTTTCACTATGAGCCTGATGCCAGTGATTCAGTGCTTCTTGCTAAAGTTTAGTATCAAATCAGATATATACTTCCTAATTTGTCAAGATTTGCATTGTTGGCCATCCTTTTGAGTAATACACCTCATGTATAGATGGTTCATACACAAGATCTGTATTGTTTGTTCAGTTTACATGGAATAGTTTTCTTGAGACAGGTGTCATGAATATGGTTGAAACTAAAATTTAATGTTTCAAAAACCATCTGTTAGTGTAAAAAATGTTAATGGAGAATGGATTTATGAAATTATTGACTTGAATAACCTATTACAGAAATTGTTGCATCAGTGTGTGTTCAATTTGCCAGAAAACAACTTTTGAAATCAGGACTCATGAAATTATGGGTTCCTGTCTGGAAGATAATCGTACTGAACCCGTGACTTATCATGCGGATATTGTGTGCAACATTTTCACACCTAATTAAAAATGTTCAGAGTTAACAATTTTCAACTGATTTCTCATTCATATTATTTGATATATAATTTTGCTATACACATTGGTTTAAGTGGGGAAAACTGTCAGAAAGGACAATCAGATATTTCCAGTTTCATCTTCCATATGTTACATGAACACATGGGGTTAAGTGACTCAGTCATGTGTAATTTGTTGTGTAGAGTCGTGTCCCTTTGTTATACCCCAAAACCTACAATCAGGAGTTCAAACCTCAGTTGGTGGGGTAGCCTAGTGGTTAAGGCATTCGCTCGTCACGTTGAAGACCCGGGTTTGATTCCCGTCATGGGCACGATTGTGTGAAGCCCATTTCTGGTGTCCCCCGCAGTGATATTGCTAAAAGCGGCATAAAACTAAATTCACTCAATCAAACCCCAGTTTGCTCTCATCATGTTTCAATGTTTGTCAGCACTGTAGCAATGTTCAGGGGTCTCATCAGAACAGTAAGTGTCTACAACCTGTATAGCTTCAGTGTTCAGAGCTGAGGAAAGCCCAACACATTTGAGTGAGTGAGTGAGGTGAGTTTTACGCCGCTCTCAGCAATATTCCAGCTATATGGCGGCGGTCTGTAAATAATCAAGTCTGGACCAGACAATCCAGTGATCGACATCATGAGCATCGATCTGCGCAATTGGGAACCGATGACATGTGTCAACCAAGTCAGCGAGCCTGACCACCCGATCCCGTTAGTCGCCTCTCACAACAAGCATGGGTTACTGAAGATCAATATTCTAACCCGGACCTTCACGGGTCCCGAACACACTTGAATGCAATAAGTAATTACCATCAATATGTTGTACAACTGTGGGTGGTCAAGAGTGACCGATAATGTTTATTTACTGTATTTGGTATTTATCATGACTTGTGAAAGTTTAATAATAATATGATCATGTTTGCATTTCAGCATACCAAGAAAGATATTTCAGACTCAAGGGAAACTTACTATTCTACTTCAAAAATAAAGAAAATGTAAGTATGATCAAAACAAAGATGACAATATTAGATATTTCAATAAGTGAATTATTTCAATTTCTGTTTTGGCTTGTTAAGCATTTTTACTGTCATATTTGGTAATCAAGGTAGATATAAGATAGGGGCCGTTGGGTAGCCTAGAGGTTAGAGCTTTCGTTCGTCACACCAAAAACCGGGTTCATTCTCCACATGGGTACAATGTGTGAAGCCCACTTCTGGTGTCCCCCTCTGTGATATTGCTGGAATATTGCTAAAAGCAGAGTAAAACCAGACTTACTCACTCACTTTTATCCTTTCTACAATCCTCTTTGATGAATCCTTTTCTGGATAAATCACTCACTCTCTTGATCCCTTGAGCCAAATATATGGCTTGCAAATATTTATCCCGCCAGTATTGTTGGTTTAGGGCCATGAGAAACCGAAATACTTTCCGATAGTCTAAACATAATAGTATTTTGTGAATCTGCAAAAAAATGATTTTTACTTCCTCCTCATGCCTATGTATGTCTGGTGTGTCAGGACATGTTTTAACATTGTAAATAATCCATACAAGCAGTGTATATATCTGTTGTGATAACATGGTTAACAGACACTACCGGGAGTTCCTGTATTTAAGCACGGGGCTTAAATACGGAAAATCACTGTTCTAGTGATGAAATATTTTAACGATAAAATGCCAATATTTTGATAAAATAAAAAATAAAGCAGGTTTCTTAAATCTCTTTTATCAGGAAACTGGTCTATAAATTCAAAATAGAATGACCACATGGTTCAATTTAACTGCAACTGCGTGTACATCACAGGTGTTAAGTTGATCAATTTCTGTCTCTAATAACTGCCCTGTAACCGGTGTCCAAAATGTTCTGTAAACATGATAACCTGCAGAGAGCACTACTACAGTTGAGGGGCGGTGGGGTAGCCTGATGGTTAAAGCATTGGCTTGTCACACAAGACCCGGGTTCGAATCCCCACATGGGTACAATGTGTGAAGCCCATTTCTGGTGTCCCCGCCTAATGTTGCTGGAATATTGCTAAAAGCGGTGTAAAACCAAACTCAGTCAGTCAGTCAGTCAGTCAGTCAGTCAGTCACTAAAACAGTTGAAAACGCCCGAGGTTCGCTATGCTTTGAAGGGGACGCCACTCTAAATACCAATGAATTAAATCCAAATTTAGGCCCATGGGCTTCAATACGGGGAAAAATCCTGTATTTTAGCCTATGGGCTAAATGTTATGGCGGCCTAAATATGGGAATTCCTGGTATGCATTTCATTCAATTAAATAATGGGAAAGAAAGAGTTATTATCTGTTCTTAAGAACACACCTGCGTTCTTCATATTTGTGTTGTTTAGTTGTTTTGAAACTTGGAATTCTTAAGGTAGATATCATCAATCATGCATAATAGGTCACAACAGTTATTGACTTCATACTGCTCAATGAAGCAATAGCTATTTGTTTTAGACATTTGAAAATGTAAAATGGACTAGCAGTTTTCTTATTTTTCCTTATCCTGCTCATGCTTTTGCTTGTCGCTTCTTCTTGCTTAATGATAGTGGAAAAAGCCGGACGTAAAATCACTCACCCAAGGTTGCCTCCCTTTACTATTTTGGCCACAATCAGTCACATGATCGCCCATGCTTGTCACTCTCCTTCTTCAGCCCTAGAGGACGGTTGTGAGAGCACCTGGGTCCCTTTACGGCACTATATCCTTTTATGTGACTGATTTTGGCCAAAACAGTAAAGGAGGCAACCTTGTATGAGTGATTTTATCCGCTTTCAGATCAGATCAGATCCTTTGTATCATGCACCTGGCAGAGCTAATGATGAACAATATTGTTGATGGTGTAACACTAATTGTTGATTCTACTGCATCTACTATGTCTTGTTTCATGTGGTTGCAGAGAATTGAGCCGCTTGGTGTCATCATCCTGGAGAGATGTACTGTGGAGCTCGATCTTAAGGATGATGTCAGCAACTCCTTCCTTCTAGGTGAAACACAGATTGCATTCCTCCTCTGACCCTCCCCACAGCAAGAAGCAAAGTCTGCATTCCCACAGTGACCCCCCACCCCCAGCAAGAAACAATCACTGCATCCCTAAACTGACACCCCCCCCCAGTAAGAAACAATCACTGCATTCCTACTCTTGACATACCACACACCCCCAACCCCCAGCAAGAAACAATCACTGCATTCCTACTCTGACACACCACACACCCCAAACCCCCAGCAAGAAACAATCACTGCATTCCTACACTGACCCTCCAGCAAGAAACAATCACTGCATCCCTAAACTGACCCCTCCAGCAAGAAACAATCACTGCATCCCTACACTGACCCTCCAGCAAGAAACAATCACTGCATTCCTACTCTGACACACCACACACCCCAACCCCAGCAAAACAATCACTGCATTCCTACACTGACCCTCCAGCAAGAAACAATCACTGCATCCCTACACTGACCCTCCAGCAAGAAACAATCACTGCATTCCTACACTGACCCTCCAGCAAGAAACAATCACTGCATTCCTACACTGACCCTCCAGCAAGAAACAATCACTGCATTCCTACACTGACCCCTCCAGCAAGAAACAATCACTGCATTCCTACACTGACCCTCCCAGCAAGAAACAATCACTGCATTCCTACACTGACCCTCCAGCAAGAAACAATCACTGCATTCCTACACTGACCCTCCAGCAAGAAACAATCACTGCATCCCTACACTGACCCTCCAGCAAGAAACAATCACTGCATCCCTACACTGACCCTCCAGCAAGAAACAATCACTGCATTCCTACACCTGACCCTCCAGCAAGAAACAATCACTGCATTCCTACACTGACCCTCCAGCAAGAAACAATCACTGCATCCCTACACTGACCCCCAGCAAGAAACAATCACTGCATTCCTACACTGACCCTCCAGCAAGAAACAATCACTGCATTCCTACACTGACCCCTCCAGCAAGAAACAATCACTGCATCCCTACACTGACCCCTCCAGCAAGAAACAATCACTGCATTCCTACACTGACCCTCCAGCAAGAAACAATCACTGCATTCCTACTCTGACACACCACACACCCCAACCCCAGCAAGAAACAATCACTGCATTCCTACACTGACCCTCCAGCAAGAAACAATCACTGCATTCCTACACTGACCCTCCAGCAAGAAACAATCACTGCATTTCTACACTGACCCTCCAGCAAGAAACAATCACTGCATTCCTACACTGACCCTCCAGCAAGAAACAATCACTGCATTCCTACACTGACCCTCCAGCAAGAAACAATCACTGCATTCCTACACTGACCCTCCAGCAAGAAACAATCACTGCATTCCTACACTGACCCCTCCAGCAAGAAACAATCACTGCATTCCTACACTGACCCCTCCAGCAAGAAACAATCACTGCATTCCTACACTGACCCTCCAGCAAGAAACAATCACTGCATCCCTACACTGACCCTCCAGCAAGAAACAATCACTGCATTCCTGCACTGACCCCTCCAGCAAGAAACAATCACTGCATTCCTACACTGACCCCTCCAGCAAGAAACAATCACTGCATTCCTACTCTGACACACCACACACACCCCAACCCCAGCAAGAAACAATCACTGCATTCCTACACTGACCCCTCCAGCAAGAAACAATCACTGCATCCCTACACTGACCCTCCAGCAAGAAACAATCACTGCATTCCTACACTGACCCTCCAGCAAGAAACAATCACTGCATTCCTACACTGACCCTCCAGCAAGAAACAATCACTGCATTCCTACACTGACCCCTCCAGCAAGAAACAATCACTGCATTCCTACACTGACCCTCCAGCAAGAAACAATCACTGCATGCCTACACTGACCCCTCCAGCAAGAAACAATCACTGCATTCCTACACTGACCCTCCAGCAAGAAACAATCACTGCATTCCTACTCTGACACACCACACACCCCAACCCCCAGCAAGAAACAATCACTGCATTCCTACACTGACCCTCCAGCAAGAAACAATCACTGCATCCCTAAACTGACCCTCTCCAGCAAGAAACAATCACTGCATTCCTACTCTGACACACCACACACCCCAACCCCAGCAAGAAACAATCACTGCATTCCGACAGTGACCCCCTGACACACACACACAAAACAGCTAGAAACAATCACTGCATCCCTAAACTGACACCACCCCCCACCCCCACCCCCACCCCCAGCAAGAAACAATCACTGCATTCCTACACTGACAAACCACCACCACCAACACGCATCTATCACTTTTACACTAAAACAAATAGTGCATCCCATCTTTTATTTCAAATAAGTTTAGTCGTTATGCATAACAACTTTTATGAGATTTGAACTTGGTTGGACACTATTCTAAGTCTTGCAGTCACATTTGAGACTGCTAACATGACCTTGATATTTGAACTGTTGCAGTGTACGAGGGGGAGGACCACCCATATTACTTTGCATGTTCCTCGGAGGAGGAGCGAGACGGCTGGATCCAGGCTCTGCATATCGCAAGCTACGAGTGTCTCAACATGCAGCTGCAGAGTCTCCGTGAACAGCTGCAGGCTAAGACTGGCAGAGACCCCATTCAGCTGCCTTCTCACCAACATGCAACTCTGGACTATGAATCTCAGGGAGGTAGGTACAAGATGCCTTCTCACCAACATGCAACTCTGGACTATGAATCTCAGGGAGGTAGGTACAAGATGCCTTCTCACCAGCATGTAACTCTGGACTATGAATCTCAGGGAGGTAGGTACAAGATGCCTTCTCACCAGCATGTAACTCTGGACTATGAATCTCAGGGGTAGGTAGGTACAAGATGCCTTCTCACCAGCATGTAACTCTGGACTATGAATCTCAGGGAGGTAGGTACAAGATGCCTTCTCACCAACATGCAACTCTGGACTATGAATCTCAGGGAGGTAGGTACAAGATGCCTTCTCACCAGCATGTAACTCTGGACTATGAATCTCAGGGAGGTAGGTACAAGATGCCTTCTCACCAACATGTAACTCTGGACTATGAATCTCAGGGAGGTAGGTACAAGATGCCTTCTCACCAACATGCAACTCTGGACTATGAATCTCAGGGAGGTAGTTACCAGATGATGCTGTCTTCTATGCAGAATTTTGTTTGAAGCAAACATCACATTTTCCTGTTTTATGACAGATAACATATTGTAGTGGGTGAAAGTGAGTATGAATAATGCTACATAATTGCAATGTTAAGTGAAGCCCTAGCACCAGTGGTGTCATCAATGAAATACAGCTACCAGAAAACATAAGGAAAAATGTGTATGTTGATATCAAATTAAGAATGCAAACTGGACCCTTTTCTTTTGGTACCCAAACAGTTACATGAAAGTATTTCGATTACTAAATTTAGAAAAGCTTAAAATCACAATCTTTAAGACCCACTGCCTGATATACATTACCAGCGTTGCTGTTACCAGGGTTACAGAGTGTCAGAAACATTTCAATTTTCTTTTTGCGTATCAAAAATGTAAATTTTCATTTTTGATCTTGTTTTTGTTGTAGAGCCCAGTGAAGAGGCTATGCTGGAAATATCCCTTTGTAAGTCCTAATGTTGTCTGTGTGTCATATTGTGATGAACAATGGCTTTATGCTTTATGTTGTGTTCAGTAGCACAGTATCGCTTGTTGTTGGTCTCCATTGTGGAGCTGTCTTGTTTGTAAATGAAATGCTTGATCCAGAATACCACTTGTGTTCCTGACGAGCTGTTTACGGCACATGGTCATGTAAACTAACATGAAAATGGCTTTTTTTACACTGTTGACTGAAGTGTGAACCAGAATGAAACAATAATTCGAACCCATGATCATCAAGAGAACTTCTCATGATGTCATGCTAATGATGAAAGTGTGGAAGGGGAGATAATCCATATTTCATAACAAGTGGAGGTTTCATTTAAAGTCTTGTAAACAACAAACATCTGTCTTGTGTAACAAACTAAAAGATAAAGACACTCTACAGAACCATTCATTATTTTTCTGCATAGTAATTAGGGTGCAGGTGGCCCAAATAACTGAGTCAGCACAATTGGCTGTGCAGAGTTTCATCTCTTAGACACAGATAGCAGATTTAATCGTCTTGACCAATAACACCAATAGACAGGTACAAAACAAATCTATTGTGTGGGGAAAAAACCAGAAAGTATGTTAAGAGCAATATTTTATTGAAGAAATTCAAATGTGTTTTTTATTGTTGTTGGAAATTAGTTAGAACATCATACACAAGTCTGACTAAAATTATCAGAGGCAGACAACAAGAAAATGTGTCTCATCCCTAGTCATAGATTTTATGTGTGCTTGTGATGGAAAGGGAGATAACTGGTGCTGAGAACATATAAGAGTAATTTCATTTTATTAGGACACTTTGTCAATCTTATACAAAATCATGGAGCAAAGACCCAGATAGCATTCGGACGTTGGCTATCTGGGGAAAAGTTGATGTTTTATGAACTGCCTTTCCCCACAATATAAATCTGGAAGGAAGGAAATGGTATCTCAGTGATGTGAAAAATTACCCCTACTCATATGTAGGGTTCTCAGGTGCTCATGAACAATCAGATTCATGATTTCCATCTCAATCTGTTAGATCCACATTCACACCCCAGATATTAGCTGTTGGGTACACTTTACTTGTGATGAGAAAGTTTCATCTCAGCTCTGTTAGGGTTAAAGGTATTTCTATAATGGTCTGGTGAAATGGAACAGTTTTCAGTACACAGTGGTAATTGTTTGGCTTTTATGGACACAGGATGAACTTTCATTGATTATGGTTTAATATATATATCTTTTATGTTAATTTTGAAATAAATGTTGATCTTTTTCTTAAAATTTGATTTTCATATTTTGTTGTATTTCCTCAATTGGGCTAAACGTCTTTTTTTCATTGGTTGAGGGTTCAGAGTATCTGTTTTTGTGTAGAATCTAAAATCATTCATCCACTTTGAATGTGGTTCTTGGTTAGTCTGCACCATGCAGGTGCTTGTGTACTACATGTTATATCAGGACTGTTTATGGCTTGGCAATGCATGACTTTGGGATTACCTCACACAAGAATCTTAATAAAGTGGGGTAGCCTAGTGGTTAAAGTTTCTGTATATTACGCTGAAGACTTTGTGTGGGGACCATGCTCTTGTTCTCTTTTTTTGTCTTTTATGTTTTCTAAACTTGTATTTTTGGATGTTGGTGTATGTTCTGAAAGAAGTTAAGATTTTTGCATACATATTTCAGCATTTGTATCAAATATTTATGGCTCCTTTATTCTGTCTATATCATTTTGGGTATTTCCCTAGTTGTTATTTACAGTTATTCCTTTTTGTTAAACTTGAGCATGTTCCAGTAATTGCATGTTTTCTGAAAATAAACATAATTAAAAAGTTGCTGGTGTCTTTCTGGTTTTTGTCACATACCATATATGGTGTTAATTGGATACAGCATCTATATCATGTTGAACTTGTAGAATTTCTTAACAGGAAAAGGATATTTTTACACAAACCATTTGACAAATATATATTTTTCATGTTCAGCCACCTTCATCTTCACCAAGAAAATCCACTAGCGTATCAGGTTTTCATATCTTGAAATACTTCATTTAGAGCATTTACTGACTTGAGCAAATTTGGAAGTAGATATCTAGAAATTCACTGAAACTGACTGACTGACTGAGTTTGGTTTTACGCCGCTTTTAGCAATATTCCAGCAACATCACGGCGGGGGACACCAGAAATGGGCTTCACACATTGTACCCATGTGGGGATTCGAACCCGGGTCTTCGGCGTGACGAGTCAACGCTTTAACCATTAGGCTACCCCACAGCCCCACTGAAACTGAAATGGTGTAAGTTATCTTTGTATGATGGATGTAGTGAAACAAAGCTGAACCATGTGTTTGTTCCTTCCACATCAGTGATCACACACTGTGAATGACTTGGTGTTTATGCCATTCTGGTAGCCATTTTATGGACTGGGTTTCATCTGCTTTCAAGAAAATGATAATGTGTCGTTTTTCCACATACATAAGTTTTCCCACACATCAACACTGAATGACTCTTCCAGCAGGTTGTGGAGGGAGAGTGTGATGACAATCGTTCTTGCTGCTGTTATTTGTAGAATTGTTCATGTTTAGGGCTATAAGACTACAATTTGTCACCACAGCTGCAATGTGCTCAGTCATACATTCGGGGTAGTGGCATGGCCTAGCAGTTAAAGCGTCCGCTCGTCACGCCAAAGACCCAGATTGGATTCCCCACATGGGTACAATGTGAGAAGCTCATTTCTGGTGTCCCCCGCTGATTGCTGAAATATTGCTACAGGCAGTGTAAACCAAACTCACTCACTGACTGTGATACATTCATGGAAACCTGCCATGTTTTCCTGATGATGCTCTTGTGTGCTGTACATATATACTGAGGGAAACAATAAGGGAAGTGCTCCTTTATTCTTTTCCAGGTTTCTTCTGCAGCTTTGCATTGTGGGTGATAATCTGAGAATACGTAAAGGAACACTGCGATGAAGTGGTGATCCCTTATTTCTTTCCCTCAGTATATGTAGAACCGCGACAAGACTACTATTTAATTAGTGATATGTTGACAGAAACTTGCCATGTTATGGAGTTGTATTCCATCATCAGAGAGGACAACTGAGACTCACCCAAAACCTTTTTTGCAAACAAGCATCTATTTAACATATTTTGTTTGTAGCCCAGAGCATTTTCACAAATTAGATTCAGACTAGGTAACCTCATATATGTTTGTAAAGATACATTCCACTTGATATTTATTTCCAGGACTTTTAGTATTCTTATCTAAGATTCTTACCCATATGTTCCACAGTGGCTTCACACCAGCTTCTATGGTGCCACAAGTTTGGTTTGAGAGGCATCATGATCACAAAGGGTTTGCTAACCTCACCGAAGAGTCTGATCTGAGTATTCCCAGCTGTGAAGTTCATGCACTCAAAAACCTGAAAACTAAAGACATGATTGGTCAATAGGGATAATCAAATAGATTATGATGTCTGGAAGGAGCTGTATTTTGTGAAAGGCCGTGCAGGTCTCACTCTGACCAGTGCAGGTCTCACTCTGACTCATACTTTAGGTGTACAAGGAGATGATGATGACCTCTGCAGATGAAGATATAGATTCCTAAACAGCTACTATACTGATTGCTACCGATGTGATGGGGTTGTACTGACCACTACAACGTTGATGCATGTAGTTGATGTGTACCGTCCTTTTGCAGCCTGTACTGACCTGCCTACAGACAGCAGTGGACAGCCCCCCAACCCTCTGGTTGTGGTGCACACCATGACTCCCCCAGTACAGCAACTGTGGGTCAAACACAACCACACAGAGGTGGTAGAGGTAGGTTCCTCAACTCTATATGTCACTCACTACATATGGGAGTCTGTGCCACATTAACTCTATTCCATTACCCCTTGAGTCTGCTGTGCCAAATGCTTGTCGTAATAGTCAAGCGAAACCAGGAGTAATTGAATAGATGAGCCATCAACTCTAAGAATTGTTCTTTCTATAAGCCATTATTAAGAAGTATTGTGATGCTTCTTGAGTAATGCTGAGTCGGCAGAAAACATTGTTCACGAACTTTTCACCAAACTGTTCTCCACTAATGGAGATCTATCTTACCCAGAGGCTCTGTATACTCTTAAACTGTAAATTCTGTGGACAGTTTCATCTTTACTGATGCATGTATGTATATATTTTTCTTATGTACAGAAATGCTACAACCCCCAGTTTCTGAGGACGATTGGTTTTGGTGGGAGTGAGGGTGTAGAGACAGGTACTCGAGTCAGGCTGACCATCTACCATGTTGTGGAGAGGATGACTGGCACTGTAAGTGTTGACAAGCTGTGATGATGCTCCTCCTGTAGCTGGACTAGCCAGCAGATGACATACAGTATGTGGTGATCAGTTTGGTGTGACTCACGAGCAGATGACATACAGTATGTGGTGATCAGTTTGGTGTGACTCACGAGCAGATGACATACAGTATGGGGTGATCAGTTTGGTGTGACTCACGAGCAGATGACATACAGTATGTGGTGATCAGTTTGGTGTGACTCACGAGCAGATGACATACAGTATGGGGTGATCAGTTTGGTGTGACTCACGAGCAGATGACATACAGTATGGGGTGATCAGTTTGGTGTGACTCACGAGCAGATGACATGCAGTATGGGGTGATCAGTTTGGTGTGACTCACGAGCAGATGACATACAGTATGTGGTGATCAGTTTGGTGTGACTCACAAGCAGAAGACATTTAATGTGTGTAGATCAGTTTAATGTGGCTAACGGGCGGTGGGGTAGCCTAATGGTTAAAGCGTTGTCTCGTCATGCCGAAGACCTGGGTTCGAAACCCCAAATGGGTACAATGTGTGAAGCCAATTTTTGGTGTCCCCCGCCGTGATGTTGCTGGAATATTGCTAAAAGTGGCGTAAAACCAAACTCAGTTAGTCAGTCAGTAATGTGGCTAACAGACCACCTACTGGACTGAGATCAGTTTACCTCATAATCACCTGCTCTAAAAGCCAAGGGGGTGGTGGGGTAGCCTAGTGGTTAAAGCGTCCACTCGTCACGCCGAAGACCCGGGTTCGAATCCCCACATGGGTACAATGTGTGAAGCCAATTTTTGGTGTCCCCGGCCGTGATGTTGCTGGAATATTGCTAAAAGCGGCATAAAACCATACTCACTCACTCACTCACTCACTCTAAAAGCCAAGCTGTGAACCTGCTTACCACTCAGCCACTTGTGGAGGAGAGTCAAGTAGGAAAGAACCAAGTGATCACAAATTACATTCAGACAGTGTTGTTCTTTGGTTATCAGAGATTCAGTAAGTTTTGCAAGAAACATGACATATATTTCATCACTGTTTTCAGAGTGTCAAATTTGTGATGATCTTTCATTTCTTACCCACTCTCATCAGCATTCCCAGCTTCCCTACCTTGTCTCAATATTTATCTGACCAGTCCATAAGCCATTCTAGAAGTCATTATGAGTGAACATTATTCATGCATAACCAAGTGGTAACTAAAAACGAAAGCATGGTATGAAGTTTGCAGACAGGTGTGAAAAGTGAGGTGAAATTGGGTTTTACGTCGTGCTTGAGAATATTTCGCTCATATGACGACGTGCATGCGTGTGTATGTGTATGTGCAGCTGCTTGTACTAGCCCAGACTTAAGCTGGTTTTATAGTGCTAGCCCACTGAGATACCATGCCGCAGTGAAGCATGAATACCCCACTCAGACACATTATACTGACTCCGAGCTGACCAGTCCTTGTTGTACCCATTAATGCTGAGCGCCAGGCAGGGACCAACAAGTACCAATGCAAAAACTACCATATTTTAACATCTTTTGGTTTGACGCTGGTCGGGGATCGAACCCGCGACCTTCCGCTCTCAGGGCAGACGCTCTAACCACTACACCACGGAGGCGGTCTGTGAAAAGTAAGCGTGGTGTGGATACTGTTTGTGTTAACACAGTTGGTTTGTTGCAGATGTCACAGCTGGGTCAGACAGTGTTCTCCCTGCAAGATGTACTGATGGCACCCAAGATGAGCCTCACACAGAGTCTACAGTAAGTCAGAACACACTAGTATCTCTGTCAGAGTCTAGAGGAAGTCAGAACACACTAGTATCTCTGTCAGAGTCTAGAGTAAGTCAGAACACACAGTATCTCTGTCAAGTCTAGAGGAAGTCAGACACACTATCTCTGTCAGAGTCTAGAGGAAGTCAGAACACACTAGTATCTCTGTCAGAGTCTAGAGGAAGTCAGAACACACTAGTATCTCTGTCAGAGTCTAGAGGAAGTCAGAACACACTAGTATCTCTGTCAGAGTCTAGAGGAAGTCAGAACACACTAGTATCTCTGTCAGAGTCTAGAGGAAGTCAGAACACACTAGTATCTCTGTCAGAGTCTAGAGGAAGTCAGAACACACTAGTATCTCTGTCAGAGTCTAGAGGAAGTCAGAACACACTAGTATCTCTGTCAGAGTCTAGAGGAAGTCTAGAGGAGAACACACTAGTATCTCTGTCAGAGGAAGTCAGAGGACACTAGTATCTCTGTCAGAGTCTAGAGGAAGTCAGAACACACTAGTCTCTGTCAGAGTCTAGAGGAAGTCAGAACACACTAGTATCTCTGTCAGAGTCTAGAGGAGTCAGGAAGTCAGAGGAGTCTACACACACTAGTATCTCTGTCAGAGTCTAGAGGAAGTCAGAACACACTAGTATCTCTGTCAGAGTCTAGAGGAGTCTAGTCAGAACACACTAGTATCTCTGTCAGAGTCTAGAGGAAGTCAGAACACACTAGTATCTCTGTCAGAGTCTAGAGGAAGTCAGAACACACTAGTATCTCTGTCAGAGTCTAGAGGAAGTCAGAACACACTAGTATCTCTGTCAGAGTCTAGAGGAAGTCAGAACACACTAGTATCTCTGTCAGAGTCTAGAGTCTAGGAGGAAGTCAGAACACACTAGTATCTCTGTCAGAGTCTAGAGGAAGTCAGAACACACTAGTATCTCTGTCAGAGTCTAGAGGAAGTCAGAACACACTAGTATCTCTGTCAGAGTCTAGAGGAAGTCAGAACACACTAGTATCTCTGTCAGAGTCTAGAGGAAGTCAGAACAGACATCTCACACAGGGGTGCAGATTGGCAGAACCTTTTTCAAAGTAATAATGTGCACATATATACTTGAATGTTAACAATTTGACTTTTAGAAATTCAGCAGCTTGGAATATGCTAAGTGTAACATCAACTATAAACCATCATACACTGGAATCTGAGAGTATAAGAGTATAAGAGTATAAGCCACCCACTGAATACACTACAGAAACAATATATCTATCAACAATAGATAAATAGTTAAGACTTGTATCCAAATTTATATACGAGTGTAAAATGAGTGTGATCTATTTGTTTCATTTTATTATTTACAACACACCAATGTGTTTGTGTACACTACCTGTCAGTGGATGCTATTGACATGCAGCATTGATGTTTGGTAAGACAATATATGTTTGGTACTGGGGAGGACGGTGGGGGATATAGTGTGGTGGGGGATATAGTTGTGTTTGGCACCGCGGGTAGGGTGGAGGATACATAGTATGACAGTGCATGCTGTTGGGTATTTGGTACCTGGGCCAGCCTGAGTATACACTTCAACTCGTTGACTGAATCTGGTGTTTAGTATACATAGTATTGACAGTGCATGCTGTATGGGTATAGGGTATGCTTTGCTGGGCCAGCCTGAGGTATACATAGTACTGACAACGAATGCTGTATGGGTATAGGGTATGCTTTGCTGGGCCAGCCTGAGGTATACATAGTACTGACAATGAATGCTGTATGGGTATAGGGTATGCTTTGCTGGGCCAGCCTGAGGTATACATATAGTACTGACAATGCTCTGCTGGGCCAACCTGAATGCTGTATGGGTATAGGGTATGCTTTGCTGGGCCAACCTGAGGTATACATAGTACTGACAGTGCAATGCTGTAATGCTGTATGGGTATAGGGTATGCTGTATGCTGGGCCAGGGAGGTATACATAGTACTGACAATGACATGCTGTATGGGTATAGGGTATGCTTTGCTGGGCCAACCTGAGGTATACATAGTATTGGTATGCTGTACATAGTATGCTTTGCTGGGCCAGCCTGAGGTATACATAGTATGAATGAATGCTGTATGGGTGTAGGGTATGCTTTGCTGGAGCCAACCTGAGGTATACATAGTACTGACAATGAATGCTGTATGGGTATAGGGTATGCTTGCTGGGCCAGCCTGGGCCAACCTGAGGCTGTATACAGGGTAGTAACCTGAGGTGACAAATGAATGCTGTATGGGTATAGGGTATGCTTTGCTGGGCCAACCTGAGGTATACATAGTACTGACAATGAATGCTGTATGGGTATAGGGTATGCTTTGCTGGGCCAACCTGAGGTATACATAGTATTGACAATGAATGCTGTATGGGTATAGGGTATGCTTTGCTGGGCCAACCTGAGGTATACATAGTATTGACAATGAATGCTGTATGGGTATAGGGTATGCTTTGCTGGGCCAACCTGAGGTATACATAGTACTGACAATGAATGCTGTATGGGTATAGGGTATGCTCTGCTGGGCCAGCCTGAGGTATACATAGTATTGACAATGAATGCTGTATGGGTGTAGGGTATGCTCTGCTGGGCCAGCCTGAGGTATCAACTGTGGTACTGATGCTTAGGTTACTGTTGTTTCTGCCTCAGCTTTGTTCTGAGATTTCCTTGAATGCTTTGATCTACCTGGCAAATCAATCAAATATTGATCTGCTATGAACAAATGAAATGAGTTACTCTTTGAAGAGATATTGATTAACTTTGTTGGAGAACTATACAGTCATGTTAGTGTGTCTGATTTGTGACTCTAATAATTGTGGCAACATCCCATCATTTGTATAACAGTTGCTTTCTATCACAGACAAGAAGGACATGACATCTTTCTGACCACTGGAGTGAGTTTAGTTTTACGCCGCACTCAGCAATATTCCAGCTATATGGCGTCTGACCACTGGACATGATATATTGCAGGCTGTCATGTTGTTCACAAGGAACTGTAATGGAGGTGGAATACAGGCTGAAAGAACCATGTGAACCTCAAACTGTCATGTTGTTTGTGATGAAGCTGTCTGTTGCAGGACCAATGAGATGAAAGATGGAGGGAAGATCACGGTGATGGCGTGGATCAATGATGACAACACCTCACTGGTGGACATACAGCGGGAGAAGGTACGAGATTCATCCTGTTCTTGTTGTCAAAATAACCCTGCAGAAATATATATGTGAAGACATTTCTTTTACATTTGGAAATAGCTTTCTAGTTTATTATTGGTATATGTGATAGTGTTGCCTGACAATAATAATGAGCTCTTCATTGCAACAAAGTGATAGTGTTGCCTGACAATTATCCACAAGATGTCTCTTCTTTGTCATAAGTGGGTTTTTAGGAACTATGTATCAAACAGTATATTATCGTGTGGTCACTGCATACAGACCTGTACCACTTAGGAGTCATGTGATACAGGAGGTTGTGATATTCTCCTCCATGTCCTAGGGGTGCAGCTAGCTAATTCCCAGCTTGTGACACCTTCATTACCCTCTTTGTGTTAGCGGACATTGCTAGAATTTAGAGTTGTCCCTTCTGATTCCAAATGTAGTGACATTTATGTTTATGTGTTGTCTTTGGGATACCATTATATTAACGTTGGAAAATATTTTGACTGATTTACTGTTTCCTGGATTCAAATGTTTTTGTGTGTATAATCAATTTGGTTCTGGAATTGCATACTAATGGAAAACCGCCAAAGACCTACTTTGTATTTTTCTATACAATTGTATGATAGTTGAAATGAGATAGAGAATGAAAGTGATAAAGAAAATAATTTAGCTGGGACAAGTATATTTCAAGTTCTGAGAAGGGTCAGCTGTTTCTCAGCTAGTTGTAAGTTGAACTTCATACAAGGTTGTCAGCTGTCTTGGACAATAGGGAGCTGTGACCTGTGGCATGAGCTTTATGAAAGGGCAGTTGCTCTAAATAGTCTGGGTACAGGTGTCACTGTATGCTGTGAAGCGTTGTTTCATTGTGGTTTTCAAGAGGGGGTGGTGTGGTAGCTCAGCATGTCGAACACCTGTTGGACTCCCCACATGGGTACAATGTGTGATTCCCATTTTTGGTGTCACCTGTCGTGATAATGCAGGAATATGGCTAAAAGCGGCATAAAGCTAGGTATCACTCACTCACTCACTCACTCACTCACTCACTCACTCACTCACTCACTCACTCACTCACTCACTCACTCACTCACTCACTCACTCACTCACTCACTCACTCACTCACTCACTCACTCACTCACTCACTCACTCACTCACTCACTCACTCACTCACTCACTCACTCACTCACTCACTCACTCACTCACTCACTCCACCTCCTCACCACCAGATACTCACCCATTTTCCAAATGTTCACTTGCTCAGGCTGACTATTTTGCATGCTGAGTCACTCCACCACCCATCTCCCTGAAGTAGCAAAAACAGGCATCACAGATCCATTCTGCTGAAGTAGTGCTGTATTTTGCAGGGATCTGAAAGTGGTGCAGCCCAGAACCTCCGCTCCAGACCCAAGTCCCTCTCCAGACACAAGGACAACCTGAAGACCTACTTCGACAATGTCATCAGTAAGACATTCCGATTTGCCACCAACAATGACAGCCATGTTCTCCAGGTGCAGGAAAATATGGCCGAGAGTAAATGGACACTGGACATCCCTGCCAAGCTGCTGTGAGTTATACCAAGGTTTAGGTTTGATGTTTGAAGTGGATATGATACAATCATCATATGGGACTCATCAACAGTCTTTCTCATGTAATCATTGTCGTGTGAGTGATATATCTTCTCTAGAAGGTTACAAGAACATTGGCTTGACATTAAAGTCTCTCGTACTCTTGTTTACCAAATGATCATAGATTCAAATTGCTATTATTGGTTTGTATTACAAGGGGTAAACGCAGTAGTTGGAACAGTGATATAAATGCACGTACGGTACGTGATGAGCGTTAACTTAGACCAACCCTACTTGTTCTCTGTGTTTCATTTAATGTGCATACCCCCTTGTAATAAAAACAAATAACATCGGTTTGAAACTATGATTGTTTGTTAAACAACTTTTATCCTAAGTTGAATAAAATTCTGAGATTTCAATGTTTAATAGGCAAGGTAAAATTATGAGGATTCGCAATCTTAATTTCACTTCATTCGATTTACTTTATTGTTTAAAGTGAAATTCATCAGTACGTTTTCACTGCATGCGGACTATAGTCATGTGTATGCATAATGGGGGTCTATTCTCATGTACAAGCTATGTCAGCTATTAGTTTACACATCATAATGCTGATCATGTTTCATCTAGGAAACTATGGATTGATGAAGAGAAGCAGCGGATATCCCTGCTGCAGGACCTGGGAGAGGTGAGGGTTTATCTCGAGGCTCGTAAACTGATGAGTTGCTTATGAGTTGGTTATGTCCAGAACCAGGACATTTTTCAAAATGTATTCTCCATGCCATTATTCAGGGCTTCAGATAAGGGCCGTATCGGCGTATGTACGGATAAAAAATATGCACGATACGGAAGGAAATAATTTAGAAAACGTAGCAGATATGCACCACGGCAATGGTGTACAGTATTAGAATCATTTACAGACGTATTTATCTGAAAAAGTATTGTTTTATTGTTTATTGACCTGTTTAAGACTAGCAATGTTGAAACAAAACACAAGATTACTGATACTCCATGAAATTCCATTCAGTACTCTAAATGTACTTTTCCAGTACTCCTATATTGAAAAAATAAGGAGTACATACTCCTGATGTTGAAAACTTATCTGGAGCCCTGCCATTATGTTTCTATTTGTTTTATCAAGGATTGTTTCTGTCAAAGTCTGAAGTTTAAGGAGGGTAAACAATTTGAAAAAATAAATCTGTGTCAGATTTGTATTTGTTTAAAAGTAATGTTGATTTAACTTTAGGTGTAAGATGTGTTGGCAAAAAATAATTTGGATCATCATATTTTCGAATTTTGAAGAAAATGGGGTCAGCTGATCCTTGATCCAACAATTAAAAATAATGGTCATGTATTTGATTGACATTGATTGATTGACATATTGAACTTCTCAACTGTAAAATGTGGTCGGACTAGTCCTATACACAGTTATTAGTAACCAGCATGAGAATGTCCACATTTCTATTCTTATCACAGCTTCATTGGTTTGGCCAGGCTGCAGTGATTGTATTGTAGCACCATCACCATCACTGCAACATGTCTCTCTGCACTAGAATCATATCAGAGGGTGAATGTCAGTCAGCTGTTCATGGCATATCATGTGAATGTGGCCAGTTTGTATTCTTGTTTCTGATGATGAGAATTTTGTAACATCGTCATTACACTGTGTTTCAGTATGTAGCGGGTTGATACAGATATCGAGTAGATTATCCATTTTTAGAAATCTTTTGTAGGGTGAACACAGAAATTTAGTCAACCTATATTAATCTCCTTATTCATTATTTGATTCACAATCACAGGCTGACACGTGAAGATCTGGGTTCGAATTGATCTTCAGGAACCCAGGCCTGTCATAAAGGTCAGGTTTCCGGGCATGGTTGATGTATGTCATCACATTCCAATAGTGTAGATCAATGCTCATGATTTCAATCACCGGATTGTCTGGTCCAGATTCATTATTTATACACTGCCATCATATTGCTGGAATATTACTGAGTGTGGTGCTACACAGCTTAAAACAAAGCGTGATGAGTGAGCGAGTTGGGTTTTACGCCATTTTAGCAATATTCCAGCAATATCACAGCGGGGGACACACAAAGCTGAATGATTAGAAGTACTGTCTTGTAGCATGGTCATCATAATGGCAGCAATACTCACAGGTCAGCTCTGTCCAAGGTTGGTTACATCGACAGCGACATCATCGGTGCAGCAGAGCATCGGAAATCATGTTTACACACAGCGCTAGTGTTCGACATTAACGTTGGTCCTAAGGCCCAAAGCCGACTGAAAACCACTCGGACCCACAGCTTTTGTTTTGTACCGGTCCTTATGGCTGACAGCTTTCTCATCCCCAATAAAAAAAACCCCATTAATTCCATATTAAAATATAGGTTCTACACATTCTGATCAGGACCCACAACTTTTTAAGGGCCTGCAGCTTTTCAGGGTAAAGGGCAAACACTGTTTACACGTGTGTTCCACTAATCCATTACTTGCTTGTCTACATCAGGTGACCCGTGAAGGTCCGTGTTAGAAATGATCTTCAGTAGCCCATGCTTATCGTATGAGGCAACTAACAGGATCAGGTGGTCAGGCTCGCTGACTGGGTTGACACATGTCATCGTATCCCAATTGCATAGATCAATGTTCATGCTGTTGATCACTGGATTGTCTGGTCCAGACTTGAGTATTTACAGACCACCGCCATATAGCTGGAATATTGCTGAGTGTGGTGTAAAATTAACTCACTCACTCACTCACTCACTTACTCACTCGCTACATCAGGTCTGAGTTTCAGGGGAGCTGGGCAAGATGGAGGCAGCATGTGTCAGGGATGTATGTGTGTATGTTTCAGCTTGTGCCTGAGATAGAAGGAGAGCAGGTGATGTGGATCACACTATCTGCAGCCACTGTAGCCTGCTACACCGACATGCTGGACTCCATCACTGATTACAAAGGTTCTTGTGCACTCGTACACATATATACATGTGTGTACATACAAATAGATAACCCTTGTACAGATAGACACACGTGTGTACATACAAATAGTTAACCCTGACATGCATGGAACTGTTATCACTATAAACAGATGTATATGTCCTAACATAGACCCTCACATTATGATGATACTAATGCATTCCCCATCAGACATTTACAGAAGTCAGTATTCGTTCTGCTCCACCTCAGACATGAATCACCATGTTATCAATAGAATACACCCAACATAAGAACCCTTTTGAGGAATCTAGTGCAGAATGTGGCCACTATAGGAAGTGATTTGAAAGGAAGTGACACATGTATATGTTTCCACATGATGTCTAAAATGTTTCATATTTTATTCACTGACTTAATATGGTATAATCATAGGCGGATCCAGAAATTTTAAAGGTGTGTGTGTGTGTGTGTGTGTGTGTGTGTGTGTGTGTGTGTGTGTGTGTGTGTGTGTGTGTGTGTGTGTGTGTGTGTGTGTGTGTGGGAGGAGGGAGGGAGGGAGGAGGGAGAGAGAGAGAGAGAGAGAGAGAGAGAGAGAGAGAGAGAGAGAGAGAGAGAGAGAGAGAGAGAGAGAGAGAGAGAGAGAGAGAGAGAGAGAGAGAGAGAGAGAGAGAGAGAGAGAGAGAGAGAGAGAGAGAGAGAGAGAGAGAGAGAGAGAGAGAGAGTGTGTGTGTGTGTGTGTGTGTGTGTGTTCAGGGAGTTCAACCCACCTTGGTACTGCCATTGCAGAACATTAAATTCAATGTGGTCTTTAGTCATTTTCAAGGGGAACACAACCCCCCCTCTGGATTCGTCACTGATAATGATAGCATGGTCCAAAGTTTGCAAACGTTTGATTCTTGAAACAGATAATAATTTGAGTGTTTTTTGTTATATATGGAAATTCTTTAAACTCACTCATCTCAATGCTGACATCTTGCAAGATAATCATTTTCCCTGAACTGCATGGCTGTGCGAGTCTACTGCTGTGTGGCAGGAAGCATGTCGTCCATCTCCTGTGCCGTGAGACGTAGACCGATCTGCATCTGTCCCCAACATCAGCATGGCATTCTTTCCTTGACTAACCTGTTTCTGTCTCCTCTAGATAGAGATCTGAAGCCTTGATGAAGCCTTTTCAACATGAATACAATATGGAGTGATCAAAACTTGAATTGATTTAAAACCATAACATAAGAAATTACTTGTGGAGTGACAAAAGTTACTATGTGTAATTCACTTCTATATGGAATTATGTCTGTTGATCTGATATAAACATAAGGGAATGGCCATTTGATATTCTTGGGAGGGGGAGCTGGGAATTTGTAAGTAGGTGTGGATGAGGGTAATAACCAGATTTTGTTTAATTTAAAACAATGAGTCTAGACATTTTTTTTTTTCTAAATTGCAAAAAATATTTTTTTTATGGTAGTCTGAAACATTATTATTTTTTTCAAGAATTTTCAAAGACAATTTTCATTTTAAAAGAACATCATCCCCAAATAGCAAATGTTCCGTCCCCAAGCTTTGTTTTAAAACAGACAGATTTGAAATAGGAAAGAAACCTATTTGTCTATCCCTTGTTATATGTTATGGAAGTATGAACCATTAAGTTTTGGTCACTTGCCTGTGTGTGAAACATCTGTGTATGGAGCTTGCAATGACTGATTCTAACTGGTATGTATCTCTCGCCAGCTTTCAACTGACTGGGGCAATGCCGCCAAGAAATGACCGACTTTTGCATGAGTGTGGTGACCACATACACCCAAAACATCTCCTACCTAACTGCATATACAGGTAGTAACTAGTGGCATATATCGTCTTTAATAGCATTAGATATATGTATATGCTTAAGATGTTCCATCTTGCTTAACCTCGTATACAAGTATTAACTAATGGCATTTATGTTTTTAATAGCATTAGATATATGTAGATGCTTAAGATCCATCTATTCAGTGGTAGAAATTAACATGAAAACTTGCTGATTAAAGTACTGTCGGAAATAGAAAAAAACTGTATTTTCTCATTTATCTCTACAATTATGTAGTTGATATGTGAAAGCGTGAAATATCTGTTAAACTAAGTTCGGCCTAACCACAGTCTCAGTGGTAGAGAGATAGGAAACGGAGAAAAAGGACTTTACTGAGGGGAAATTAGTGCAGAAATTAGCAATGCAGGTTTTTTCTAAGTCCAAAAAGACTTATTTGAAACAGACCATGGCTTTATGCAAATTAGTGTGTGACGATATTGTATTATAAAGGACACTTTTTAAATGCCCAATTTGAAATTAGACATAGATTCAATATAAACGATAGCTGACGTAAAAAATAATAACTTTTATGCTGAAACTATTAAGGATGTAACTACCATGGAGTCTCACTGCCACTATAAAAAGAAACACATGGGAGGGGTCGTCTCAAAAGCAAAACCTGGGGTCGGCCTGGGGGATAGAGATATCAGCTAAGATAAGATAATCCTTTAGGGCAATTATACTGGGGAGGTACACGGTACGTCATAACAATTTACAAATAATATCCAGTCCTGTCGATCTTCGGGTGGTCATGCCACCTATATACTATGATGCGTTTCTATGGTTTTCAGGTATCATACTCTTTTACATATCTCAACATAAACTTTATGAAAGAAAGACACGTAAGATGTTAATCAATAGATGAGACATAGTCAACACACATGAAAAAGCACAAAATATCTTTGAGATGACCCCTTGTGCCTGTAGGCAGCACCTGCATTTCATGCCAGGTGAGTCGACGGTTTACATGTGTTCCATTAATCCATTACTTGCATGTCTACATCAGGTGACCCGTGATGCGTATTACGATATCCAGAAAAGCAGTAAACATGCTTTTCTGGATATCGTATTATGCATCCCACTGAATGCCCAGTTAGGCCGAAGTGGGTTATTTCGACATATGCTATTTGCAATTGTGTAAATTTTAGGGATACAGAGTAACAGCCTAAAAACAGTTTTTTTCTATTTCCAACAGTACTTTAGTACCACATGGTACGACTGGTATTCTTTTATCATGTGATTGCTGTGTATTGGTAAATATATTGTATTACGACATACTATGATTCAGGTACGTGTGTTGCAATATGTAATGATACATTGGGAGCTTAAGTGTTTGACAGTGTGTGACACTAGCTGTACATGTCATATTTTCGGCCCTAAAAATAAATGTTATGGTTCTGATAAAAGCAATCTCAAACTTTTATAGTTATGTATTCTGTTTTCCTTTTTTATAGAATTTAGCACATAAACTAGTAAAATGTTAATTGGCAGCACAATATAAAAATGGGCCATAGATCGTCAGCAACTGATTTTGGGTATGATATGATATGAAGATAATGTCTATTGAAAATATAGAATATGAAATTAGTTGAGAGTCATAGTTTCTTTTGTCCTAAAGTATATGTTTTCATCAAATTTATACTAAAATAATTCATCATGGAATCACACAAAAATTTAGTCTATGAATCCAAGAAATGATTTCCCTAACAACTGTTTCTACATGTCTGCTGCATGCTGCATGCTTTTTCTTGACAAGAATAGCATCCTTAGAATAATCATAACTTATGGTACAGACATCCCACTTTTGATCTTCAGTAAAATGAATTTTGGAAATGGTTGTCTTTCATTTCTACAATTGTATTTTCTTGTAAAATGTTTATGCAAAATGTAAACATATAGTCAATGTCATAACAGATTCCTTTTATTTGTTGTAAAGAAATTATCTCAGTAAGTTTGAACTTTCAAATGATCTGTTGTATGATCCATTGGAATGTTACCCAGCATGCACTGGTCTGCAGGTCCGAGCTTCAAGCCGAGCTGTGAGAAGGACAACAAGGAGCTGGAGTTTATCCCGGTCAACCTGCACGTCCAGCGGATGACCGTCGCATCGGAGGGCAGCAATCATGGTGAGGCGGGGGATGTCCTCAGTTGGCCCTCATCTTTTGTCCAGGGTCCCAATCCACAAAGCCTTCATAATGTTATGACCTGTCGTAACTCTTTAGATTATCACAGACTTACGAAAATGAATGTTTTGAGGATCGGGACCCAGTTCTGTTAGTGTTATAGAGATGAGATGGTGGTAACAAGCAGTTGTATGGATGACAGTTTCTTTATTTACACAGTTGCAATGTTTCTGCATTAAGTGTGATGTATATTCAGCTTACATTTTCATTTAAGATTCTGAATCCATTTGAGGACGGGTGGCATAGTCTTATAAGAGTGCGTCCCTTGTTCTCTCCAGGATCTCATGATCTACATTTGAATTTTGTTTCTAAGTTTGTCAGAACCAAACCCTTGTTGGTAGTTTTCCCAGTGTGGTAAATATCTGACACCTGTGTGACTTCAGGCTGTCCTCCCACACTGAATACCGGGATTTCCCGTATTTAAGCCCACTCGAAATTACGCCCATGAGTTTAAAAACGGGATATTTTCCCGTTATTAAGCCCATGGGCTTAAATTAAGATTTAAAATTTTATTGTTTAGAGTGACGTCCCATGGCAAAAGCACATGGCGAACATCAGCATATATAATGTTTGTAGTGCAGCTAGAGGTTTTCACGTGTACAGAGACCGCCTCCGTGGTGTAGTGGTTAGAGCGTCCGCCTGGAGAGCGGAAGGTCGCGGGTTCGATCCCCGACCGTGTCATACCAAAAGACGTTAAAATATGGTACTTGTTGGTCCCTGCCTGGCGCGCTCAGCATTTATGGGTACAACAAGGACTGGTCAGCTCGGAGACAGTATAATGTGTCTGAGTGGGGTATTCATGCTTCACTGCGGCATGGTATCTCAGTGGGCTAGCACTATAAAACCAGCTTCAGTCTGGGCTAGTACAAGCAGCCTCACATACACATAAACACGCATGTATGCAAGTCGTCATATGAGCGAAATATTCTCAAGCACGACGTAAAACCCAATTTCACCTCACCTCACCTCACGTGTACAGAACGTTTTGGAGTCCCAAGAGAGGTCAGGTACTCAATACTCAAATAGATAATCTCAATTCATATGACTCACACGCAGTCGCAATAAAATATCATAATATCAGCATTAAGTTCTTTCCATTTTACTGTGTCATTTTCTTCAGTTACAAGCATTTCCCGAATTTAAGCCCTGGGATTAATTATGGGGGTTTTATTTGTTAACTAGAGGGGTCATTTTCCGTTATTAAGCCCAGGGCTTAAATACGGGAAATCCTGGTATAATTTGAATACAGTTCAACACAGCATCAAACCCACATGACTCACTCACTTAAATGTCCCAGATGGCAGAAATGGTCTTGAGTTCACTGTGTTCAGTTGTGTTCACTGTGTTCACTTGTGTTGAAATACACAAAGATGACTGCTACCTGTCTATTTTCTCCAGGTAAAGTCTACGATGTGATAACCCATGGAGCCTTCACTGCATTTTGCCAGAAGTTTAAGAATGGTGGTTTACGAAAACTGCTGCAGTATCAGAAGGACTTCTACTCCTCTCAGAGCACACTGGGCTTCCGGACCAAGATGCAGCAAGCCTGCTCCCTGCTCAACGATATAGCCAAGCTGAAGACGGACATCAACCATGGCTGTGAGCGCCTGTGTCATGCAGCCCTGCAGGGAACCGACACACAACTCCAGACAGAGATGCAGTCACTCACAGAGACTGTAAGTTGCTGACTGTGCAAAAAGAAGCTACTTCTGATTGTTTACTCTAAAGCCCTGGTTGTATTTTACTCATGTATCGTGGGTGAGGGGTATACGCTGATTCCCGTGAAGTTCTGGGTTAGAACTGGTCTTCAGCAAACAATGCTTGCTGTAAGAGGCGACTAATAATGGGATCCTGTTGTCAGACTTGCTAACTTGGTTGTCACTGTATCCCAATTGTGTAGATCAATGCTCATGATGTCAATCACGTGATACCCGTGAAGGTCCGGGCTAGAATGAACCTTCAGTAACCCATGCTTGTCGTAAGAGGCGACTAACGGGATCGGGTGGTCACGCTCCCTGCCTTGGTTGACACATGTCATCGGTTCCCAATTGCGCAGATCGATGCTCATGCTGTTGATCACTGGATTGTCTGGTCCAGACTCGATTATTTACAGACCGCCGCCATATAGCTGGAATATTGCTGAGTGCGGCGTAAAACTTAACTCACTCACTCAATCACTGGATTGTCTGGTCCAGAGTCGATTATTTACAGACAACAGACAACATAGCTGGAATATGTGTTAAACATCTGGAGTGCTGTGTTAAACATTAAACACAAGTATACGCTGGTTATTCTTTAGCCATATGATATTCTATGGAGGAATATTCGTTAGGTATTATTTACTCATATGACATTTCAGGGCAGAAGTAAACTTATTAAGTGTCGAGTGTTTAGTTAACATATTGAAGTGGCTACATATGCACAGGAGCTATTGCCATGTCCCTGTTTTAACACTTACTCGTATGTAAGAGCATTATATGAAATGTAAGAGCATTATATGAAATAAATTTCTTACTATTACATGACCACTAGAAATCTGCACCTGTACAAAGTGATCTTAGCACAACGATGTTGTATGTATATGTTAAAGTATGGGAGCTATGGTTGTCAAGCCTGAAGATCACTTGTGGAGCAGCACCTAGGATGTATATTTCCATGGACCAGTAGCTATTAGCAGTGATCTTAGCACTCCGATGTTGTATGTATATGTTAAAGACTGGGAGCTATGGTTGTCAAGCCTGATAATCACTTGTGGAGCAGCACCTAGGATGTATACTTCCACGGACCAGTAGCTATTAGCATGCAGCTTTGAAACTTGATTTCTCTAATTTCAACAACATCCCAACTCTGATTCCAGGTGCGTGAGCTTGTCCGGCTCTGTGAGGACCCAATATTACAACTATCTGCCGAGAAATACATGCAGGCAAAGTCTCCCTCCAACACAGGAGATGGCCTTGACCTTGCAGCCTCTCTGGGTCACATGAGTAATGATGGTCGTAGTCAAGGTGATAAATCTCCTGAAAAGTCATGGAGGTGGTCAGGAAGTAACTTTGTCAGGAGCCCTACTGTGGAACCCTGGGTAATTAAAGCCATTATCATAACGATATTCATTATACAGCGGGGGTTCTCAATCATCAAATGTATTTTCTTGATGGTACATTAATAGCTGGCAAATGTTCCATTGATATTTATGAGCAGTTTATTGGTGTTATCCAAGTTGTTTGTCTGATGTACAGTGAAGTTGTATGTAGTTAAAGACATGGTCAGTAATTACTCTTGTTACCTGTTCATTGGTAAGAAATACAAAAGAAATTGATTATAAAAATTGTCCCTAAACTTTTTTTGTATACTTGTATTTGTTATTTTGAAACATTATGGCAACTCACATTTCATTTTTTTATTCAGGAAGTGACTCGTCTCAATCTGGAGGCAGCGATAGTGTGCCTGGTCTCGAGGGTTGACGAACTGGTGACTAAGTCGTCCTCAGGCCAAACAACCAGCTGGCTAAGTGAGCTGAGTCCAGCAGTTATCAAACTACAGAGTTTTGTGGAGATCGTGTCCAGTCGGGCAACACTTTTCCTCACATTCCTCTCCCTCATGGTAAGTCCCTGTCGGCCATGGGCTTCTTCCTCCCATTCAGGGAAGGTGTTTTGATGACCATGGGCTTCTCTCTTCCTCACATACAGGGCAGGTGTCTTCTTTTCCATTGGCCTCTCCCCTCCTCCCATTCATAGTAGGTGTCTTGTTGGCCACTGACCTCTCTCTTCCTCCCACTCATGGTAGGTGTCTTGTTGGCCATTGACCTCTCTCTTCCTCCCACTCATAGTAGGTGTCTTGTTGGCCACTGACCTCTCTCTTCCTCCCACTCATGGAAGATGTCTTGTTGGCCACTGACCTCTCTCTTCCTCCAACTCATGGTAGGTGTCTTGTTGGCCATTGACCTCTCTTCTCCACTCCATGGGAGATGTCTTCTTTGCCATTGACCTCTCTCTTCCTCCCATTCATGGTAGGTGTCTTGTTGGCCATTGACCTCTCTCTTCCTCCCACTCATGGTAGGTGTCTTGTTGGCCATTGACCTCTCTCTTCCTCCCACTCATGGTAGGTGTCTTGTTGGCCATTGACCTCTCTCTTCCTCCCACCTCCTCATGGTAGGTGTCTTGTTGGCCATTGACCTCTCTCTTCCTCCCACTCATGGTAGGTGTCTTGTTGGCCATTGACCTCTCTCTTCCTCCCACTCATGGTAGGTGTCTTGTTGGCCATTGACCTCTCTCTTCCTCCCACTCATGGTAGGTGTCTTGTTGGCCATTGACCTCTCTCTTCCTCCCACTCATGGTAGGTGTCTTGTTGGCCATTGACACCTCCTCTCTTCCTCCCACTCATGGTGTAGTGTCTTGTTGGCCATTGACCTCTTGTCTGGCTCATAGTAGGTGTCTTGTTGGCCATTGACCTCTCTCTCCTCCCACTCATGGTAGGTGTCTTGTTGGCCATGTGACCTCTCTCTTCCTCCCTTTCATGGTAGGTGTCTTGTTGGCCATTGACACCTCTCTTCCTCCCACTCATGGTAGGTGCCTTTATGGCCATTGACCTCTCTCCTCCTCCCACTCATGGTAGGTGTCTTGTTGGCCATTGACCTCTCTCTTCCTCCCACTCATGGTAGGTGTCTTGTTGGCTATTGGCCTCTCTATTCCTCCTATTCCTGCTAGGCTTCTTGCCGGCCATGTGCCTCTCTCTTCCTCCCTTTCCTGGTAGGTGTCTTGTTGGCCATTGAACTCTCTCTTCCTCCCTTTCATGGTAGGTGTCTTTGTGGCCGTTGACCTCTCTCTTCCTCTCTTTCATGGTAGGTGCCTTTTTGGCCGTGGACCTCTTTCTTCCCCCCACTATCAGTAGGTGTCTTGTTGGTTATTGACCACTCTCTTCCTCCCACTCATGCTAGGTGTCATGTTGGCCATTGACCTCTCTCTTCCTCCCACTCATGGTAGGTGTCTTGTTGGCTATTGACCACTCTCTTCCTCCCACTCATCGTAGGTGTCTTGTTGGCCATTGACCTCACTCTTCCTCCCACTCAGGGTAGGTGTCTTGTTGGCCATGTGCCTCTCTCTTCCTCCCTTTCCTGGTAGGTGTCTTATTGGCCATTGACACCTCTCTTCCTCCCACTCATGGTAGGTGTCTTGTTGGCTATTGACCTCTCTCTTCCTACCACTCAAGGTAGGTGTCTTGTCGGCCATTGACCTCTCTCTTCCTCCCACTCATGGTAGGTGTCTTGTTGGCTGTTGACCTCTTTATTGCTCCCATTCCTGCTAGACTTCTTGTCGGCCATGTGCTTCTCTCTTCCTCCCGTTCCTGGTAGGTGTCTTGTTGGCCATTGACCTCTCTCTTCTTCCCTTTCATGGTAGGTGTCTTGTTGGCCATTGACCTCTCTCTTCCTCTCTTTCATGGTAGGTGCCTTTTTGGCCGTGGGCCTCTTTCTTCCCCCCACTATCAGTAGGTGTCTTGTTGGCCATTGACCTCTCTCTTCCTCCCTTTCATGGTAGGTGCCTTTTTGGCCATGGGCCTCTTTCTTCCCCCCACTATCAGTAGGTGTCCAGCCTCCTATGTCTTTCCTCTCATGTATAGTGTCAAGTTGCACCATGTCCATGTCCTCTCTGTGTATTTCATCTATTTCATCTCCATTTGGAGAGACATATTCGAAAAGCCCCTCTCCACGTCCTCATTCTCACACTAGTGAGAACTATTAGTCAACTTATTTAATATTATTGAGTGAAGATAACTTCATAGCTATATGTACATTCATACAGAATGTCTAGTCATGCATCTACTTAATGCGCTCGAGCCCTGTGAAGTAAATAGTTAATGCTGAGGGCTGATGTGTCATTCATTCTTCTCTGCAGGAGAACAAGGACCACGTAAAGCTGATGCACATGATCAAGAACAGGAGAGACGTGGTCACAGCACATGCCGTGAGTTTCTCAGTACCAGTCCTGGGATTACAATGTCATTGCACACATTTATTGTTCAAGTATTTGGCTGCACATTATGGGATGACACGCTGTGAAAGTGCTCATGTGGCATTCAGCAGCACTCACTATCACGCAGTGTTAGGGAACTGATGGGCAAATAATCTCGGCTGCTCAATTTGCAGTACAGAGTTGTGTCTCTTAGGCCTGCCAGAAACTCGTAATCATTGGGAATCCATATTATTATTCTAGAATTGTCATCACCCTGACCATGCTCATGAGATTTGCCAAAATAGTATATGGCTATAATCTATATCGCCTTGGGGTTCCTCCCTCACTGAGCTTACTCACTTAGACAAGGATACAGTGTCATGGCATAAACGTATCTTTAAGGACCAGCCATCTCCCAATTATCTGAGGCCTGCATCACTTAAGGCTTTCCATCCTTGTCATGCTGACTTGCTGTGATACAACTGAAATATTGTTTCAGACAGTGTTTAACCAGTCTGACTCACCATACTTTGTGTAAAACTGGGGGTGGTATTATTTTTATTAGGTCAAGCAGTTGTTCAAAGAGGGAGCTCTTGGTTAGGATAAGTAGCTGTTCAGAGAGGGAGTTCTTGATTAGAATAAGCAGTTTTTAGAGAGGGAGCTCCTGATTAGGATCAGCATTTGTTCAGAGATAGTGATTTCTCCTCATTAGGGTAAGCCATTTTTCATGGAGGGAGCTGCTCATTAGTTTAAGCAGTTGTTCATTAGGATAAGCAGTTGTTCATAGAAAGATTCCTAATTAGGATAACCAGTTGTTCATTGGGAAATTCCTAATTAGGATAAGCAGTTGTTCATAGAGAAGATAAGCAGTTTTAGAGAGGGAGCTCCTGATTAGGATCAGCATTTGTTCAGAGATAGTGATTTCTCCTCATTAGGGTAAGCCATTTTTCATGGAGGGAGCTGCTCATTAGTTTAAGCAGTTGTTCATTAGGATAAGCAGTTGTTCATAGAAAGATTCCTAATTAGGATAACCAGTTGTTCATTGGGAAATTCCTAATTAGGATAAGCAGTTGTTCATAGAGAAGATAAGCAGTTTTTTAGAGAGGGAGCTCCTGATTAGGATCAGCATTTGTTTAGAGATAGTGATTTCTCCTCATTAGGGTAAGCCATTTTTCATGGAGGGAGCTGCTCATTAGTTTAAGCAGTTGTTCATTAGGATAAGCAGTTGTTCATAGAAAGATTCCTAATTAGGATAACCAGTTGTTCATTGGGAAATTCCTAATTAGGATAAGCAGTTGTTCATAGAGAAGATAAGCAGTTTTTTAGAGAGGGAGCTCCTGATTAGGATCAGCATTTGTTCAGAGATAGTGATTTCTCCCTCATTAGGGTAAGCCATTTTTCATGGAGGGAGCTGCTCATTAGTTTAAGCAGTTGTTCATTAGGATAAGCAGTTGTTCATAGAAAGATTCCTAATTAGGATAACCAGTTGTTCATTGGGAAATTCCTAATTAGGATAAGCAGTTGTTCATAGAGAAGATAAGCAGTTTTTTAGAGAGGGAGCTCCTGATTAGGATCAGCATTTGTTCAGAGATAGTGATTTCTCCTCATTAGGGTAAGCCATTTTTCATGGAGGGAGCTGCTCATTAGTTTAAGCAGTTGTTCATTAGGATAAGCAGTTGTTCATAGAAAGATTCCTAATTAGGATAACCAGTTGTTCATTGGGAAATTCCTAATTAGGATAAGCAGTTGTTCATAGAGAAGATCCTGATTAGGATAAACAGTTGTTCTGAGAAGAGATCCTGATTAGAGTAAGCAGTTGTTCTGAGAGGAGATCCTGATTAGAGTAAGCAGTTGATCAGAGAGGAGCTCCTGATTAGAGTAAGCAGCTCTTCAGAGAGGAGCTCCTGATTAGAGTAAGCAGTTGTTCAGAGAGGAGCTCCTGATTAGAGTTAGCAGCTGTTCGGAGAGGAGCTCCTGATTATGGTAAGCAGTTGTTCAGAGAGGAGCTCCTGATTATGGTAAGCAGTTGTTCGGAGAGGAGCTCCTGATTATGGTAAGCAGTTGTTTAGAGAGGAGCTCCTGATAAGAGTAAGCAGTTGTTCAGAGAGGAGCTCCTGATTAGAGTAAGCAGTTGTTCGGAGAGGAGCTCCTGATTAGAGTAAGCAGCTCTTCAGAGAGGAGCTCCTGATTAGAATAAGCAGCTCTTCAGAGAAGAGCTCCTGATTAGAGTAAGCAGTTGTTCGGAGAGAAGCTCCTGATTAGAGTAAGCAGCTCTTCAGAGAGGAGCTCCTGATTAGAGTAAGCAGTTGTTCAGAGAGGAGCTCCTGATTAGAGTAAGCAGCTCTTCAGAGAGGAGCTCCTGATTAGAGTAAGCAGTTGTTCAGAGAGGAGCTCCTGATTAGAGTAAGCAGTTGTTCGGAGAGGAGCTCCTGATTAGAGTAAGCAGCTCTTCAGAGAGGAGCTCCTGATTAGAGTAAGCAGCTCTTCAGAGAGGAGCTCCTGATTAGAGTAAGCAGTTGTTCAGAGAGGAGCTCCTGATTAGAGTAAGCAGCTCTTCAGAGAGGAGCTCCTGATTAGAGTAAGCAGTTGTTCAGAGAGCTCCCTGATTAGAGTAAGCAGCTCTTCAGAGAGGAGCTCCTGATTAGAGTAAGCAGTTGTTCAGAGAGGAGCTCCTGATTAGAGTAAGCAGCTCTTCAGAGAGGAGCTCCTGATTAGAGTAAGCAGTTGTTCAGAGAGGAGCTCCTGATTAGAGTAAGCAGTTGTTCGGAGAGGAGCTCCTGATTAGAGTAAGCAGCTCTTCAGAGAGGAGCTCCTGATTAGAGTAAGCAGCTCTTCAGAGAGGAGCTCCTGATTTGAGTAAGCAGTTGTTCGGAGAGGAGCTCCTGATTAGGGTAAGCAGTTCATAGAAGGAATCTTCCACCATACCGCTGTGTTGCTGGTACTTCCAAGCACAGAATGACACCTTTCTGGCACCAGTTGATGCATTATATTTGAGTGGTATACATTTTTTGTTTCTGGTTTCAGATCACAACACTTGTGAGTGGTTTAGCTGTCAACATACAGACCAATCACAAAGATCCTAAGTACCTACAACAGCTCATCAACAATGGGGTGATGGTTCATTTCGAGTCGCTGCTGAGCTGCTACGGCGAGGAGCTGGCCATGTTGGAGGATATGACAGTTGCTGTGGAGGACTTGGCCAGTGTCACCTTCTGCTTTGTGGAGGCCAAGGATGACGTCTTTGAAGCTGCTCTGTCTCTGCAGAAGTAGGTGAACAGGCGTGTAGCAAGCCAATTTTTTGTGTGTAAGCCCGATAGGTTACAAAGCTATATATTTAGAAAGTATTGAGGGCTTGCCCAACCTTTTTAGCAACAATCTATGCCAGGGCTTTTTTTATAATGGTAGCTACGCCCCTGTTGATGGTGACTGGTTGTTCAAGACAGACTTTGTTCAAGTTACTGTCTGTTCATAACAGACTTTGTTCAGGTGATTGTCTGTTCAAGAGACTTTTTCAGGTGACTGTCTGTTCAAGACAGACTTGTTCAAGTGACTGTCTGTTTAAGACAGACTTTTTCAGGTGACTGTCTGTTTAAGACAGACTTGTTCAAGTGACTGTCTGTTCAAGAGACTTTTTCAGGTGACTGTCTGTTCAAGACAGACTTGTTCAAGTGACTGTCTGTTTAAGACAGACTTGTTCAAGTGACTGTCTGTTCAAGAGACTTTTTCAGGTGACTGTCTGTTCAAGACGGACTTGTTCAAGTGACTGTCTGTTTAAGACAGACTTGTTCAAGTGACTGTCTGTTCAAGAGACTTTTTCAGGTGACTGTCTGTTCAAGACGGACTTGTTCAAGTGACTGTCTGTTTAAGACAGACTTTTTCAGGTGACTGTCTGTTCAAGACGGACTTGTTCAAGTGACTGTTTGTTCAAGTTTTTTCATAACAGACTAAGTTTGTACAAGATAGCAACAGCTTGTCAGCAACAGGTTTTATTCATACAGTATGGCAACCCAGATAGCAAAACCATTGCCAACGTTGGGCCAACATCTGAATGCTATCTGGGAAGTAGCAGTGTATAACAGATTTTATTCCTCATAATACCAGTGATTGCTCTTAACAGTTAATTTGTTGGTACTACATAGCAACTGTTTCTTCATATCAGATTTGTTCATAGTGACTGCTTGTTCATCCAGTAGGAGATTTACATATTTGTTAAACTGTATTACATATTATTTGATTGTCCATCCTCTTGTGTGTTTCAGCTCCATTAAGGGCGGCATGTTCCCTGATATAAACAGGTAGGACATGGACGACCTTCAACTTGCTCAAAATCAGAACATACATAATATGGACTAGTTTCTTCTGTGATAAAATTTGTATTACAAGGAAAAGTAGAATGCATATACCTTTGTGTTCTGTTTCTATAAATCCATGTTTCTAATGTATCATTGTAGTTTGATGTATCATCATCATCATCATAGTTGCTCATGATTTCAGTCATTGGTTTGTCTGGTTCACACTCAGTTCTGTATGGACCTCTGTGTTTGAGAGGGATATTGCTGAACACAGCATTGATCTACACTTACTTTTACTACAAAGTGTGTATGAAAGCAGTGGGTTTTGAAAGGTTGCTGTAAGCTTTTTCTTCTATATTTGTTGTTGATACCTCAAAACAGAAATAACTGAGATATAGGTTTGTTTGATGTGCACTTACTGTAGATTAAGAACTTAAAAGTGAGGGTAATGACAAATATTTTGTTTGTATGCTGTGCACTGACTGTGAACTAAGAATCTCTGGGTAATAAGGGGCGGTGGGGTAGCCTAGTGGTTAAAGCGTTGGCTCGTCACGCCAAAGGCCCGGGTTCGATTCCCCACATGGGCACAATATGTTAAGCCCATTTCTGGTGTCCCCCGCCGTGATATTGCTGGAATATTGCTAAAAGCGGCATAAAACTAAACTCAGTCAGTCAGTCAGTCTGGGTAATAAGATATACATTCGTTGGAAAGACTGTGTGATCCCCATGTTGAGCTTCCGTGTTCATCTTCCCTCTCTATTTACAGACACTGCATCCATGTGGAGATACCAGTTCCACCCAATACATATGAAAACCTCCCTCCCAAGTTAAAACAAGGGAACCATATTAAGGTGGTGCCAGTCCTCTTTAGCATCGGCATCAATGAACAGGCCACTCTGGCTGAAAAGTGAGTCTTGCATCTGTTATATGTTGAAACTAATGCAAAAGTTAAGCAGCATCAGTGTTGACAAACTAATACAAATTACTGCAAAGGTATGAATACAAAGGTATTACAAACTGAAAGGCAGTATAATACAACTGCATTGATCATAGCAATGAAGACAGAGATGGTAATATCCACACACCCACCCTCCCTCACTCACTCACTCACTCTGCTGCCCCAAAAATACCCTGTTCCGTTATACATGGATAAGTCATCTTATACTTGGTTATGTCTGTCTCTCACACAGGTTTGGCAACACCACTCTGCAGGAGAGAGTCAATGCAGAAAGTGTGGCTAAAGTCTTCAACTATTTTGAGAAGTATATGGATGACTTTGGGAAGTCAGGTATGTTTACACAAGAGAGAGAGAAGGATTATGACTGACCTACATTACTCAGTAAACATGCAGTCTAATGTAGTGATGAGATCAATACACACAAAACTGTCCTGTGGAGTGATGTACAGTATGTAGTCGTCATTTATAGGTCCTGCTTATACATTTGGCCAACATCAGTATGCGTAATGCAACTTGCTGCTCTGTGTGAGAAAAATGTTCTTGATATTGTTGCCTGTACTTTCTCTGCCTGTATGGGGAAATATGAGTGCTGTTATTAATGCCCCAGGTGAGCCTCAGACATCTGTATCTCAGCTGACCAAGCAGCTCCACACCAATGTGATGACCAAGAAAAGCAAGAACGTGGAAGTACTGCACCTGGCAGCGGAGGTGAGGGCCATCTGTCCGTCTCCTGTGTGATGATGTTTATATCAAATTTATGATTTGGTAAGGAGTGGTGGGATGGTGTTGCAGTTAAAATGGTGCTGTGGTCGGGTAAGGTTGTTGTGGTTGTCATGTACTTTCGATGTTGGGGGTGGAGGGTCCTGGATTCCAACAGACAACAATAAGTCCGCCATACGTTTTTTATCCGCCTTGATCTTATTACATCATCACACAGCTTGATGACGTCACTTGCCTACGTCATCATTTTTGGGGATGTACTATTTACCTAACAAATATCACAGTGGTGAGATGGTGTTACAGTTGATATGGTGTTGAGATTGGGTAAGGTAGTGGTGGTGTGATGATGTTACAGTTAAAATGGTGTTGAGATTGGGTAAGGTAGTGGTGGCGTGATGATGTTACAGTTAAAATGGTGTTGAGATTGGGTAAGGTAGTGGTGGCGTGATGATGTTACAGTTAAAATGGTGTTGAGATTGGGTAAGGTAGTGGTGGTGTGATGATGTTACAGTTGATATGGTGTTGGGATCGAGTAATATTGGATTATGTTGCATATTTCGTCTGTTTGACTGTTATGTACACTCTTGTATGTGGATGATGCTCTCATGATATTGTCATGATGTTGTCATGCTGCAGGTGTGCCGCAAGCTCAAGGGGGTGAGGTTTGCATGCTGTAAGAGTGGAAAGGATCGGACCTCCATGTCCGTCACCCTGGAGCAAGTACAGGTGCTGCAGCAGGAACACGATCTGGCATCGCACGTCTTCTGGCAGTCGCTCGACTGCTTCCGGAGGTCAGTCAAACATCAAGGCTCCATCCGTACCAGAAAGTGATCTTAGCGCTAAGATGATCAAAACTCATGTAACATTGACATAAGACCAGTGTGAGGCTGGAATGAGAGCTAGCTGTAGCTACACAGTTGCCAGTCTAGATTGTAACGCCTTGAATCAAATCCACAATACCAGTTCATAGCCAGGGTGTTTGTCTGTCCTGTCTATTCATAATTTTCATTATCACTTCATTAAGTTGTCCACATGTATAGATCCAGGTTAGAATTGGTCTTCAGCAACCCATGCTTGTCGTAAGAGGCGACTAATGGGATCGTGTGGTCACACTCGCTGACTTGGTGGACACATGTCATCGGTTCCCAATTGTGTACATCGATGCTCATGTTGTTGATCTCTGGATTGTCTTTTCCAGACTTGATTATATACAGACCGCTGCCATATAGCTGGAATATTATTGAGTGTGGCGTTAAACAACAAAACCATCCATTAAGTTGTCATCAGCTCTTTGTACAGTTATCTCCCCTGCTAGCTACAGTTATCTCCCCTGCTAGCAAACAAACAAGCAAACAATCAGCGTAAAGCTGTAATCCATGAAAGGTGTTTGTCTCATTTGTGTTAGTGGTTTTACTGTTTTTCTGATTTTGTTCCAGTGTTGGATGCCGGAGAGATAATACACACAAGAATACTGGTGTCAGGAAGTACGCCTTTAACAGCCTGCAGATGCTGTATATACCCAAGCTCTACCGGGCACCCAATGGAACATATGGGAACATACAGACTTGATGTGTCTTGGGTAGCTAGCAACATATAACCTTACCATGTATTGGTTACCTAGCAACATACAGACTTACCGTGTATTGGTTACCTAGCAACATGCACATTTGATGATTCTTAGGTACCTAACAACATACAGATTTACCTGTATTGGTTACTTAGCAACATGCAGATTTGATAACTCTTGGGTACTGCTGGCCTACAGACTAAATGTGTCTTGGGTACCTAGCAACATACAGACTTAATGTGTTTTGGGTACATAGCTACATCTAGGTAAGGTTTCAGGTGCATATTGCCTCCCATGGGAAGTTCCAACTAAACATATCTAAATCCAGGGCTCCTCTAGTGATCTGTTGCCTGTTACTCAAGTCTCACAATGCCAAAGGTACACTTCATGTTGTTCTATTTTACTTCTTAGTAAGTAACTTGGAATGTTTATTTGTTTCTATTGTTGGTGTATTCAAAACCTCTGTGGTGTAAGGGTAAGGTACATCACTGGGAGATACGTTTGTGTTCATGGATAGTCAACTTGTGACTGTCTTATACGAACAGTGAATGTTTGCTCCTTTTGGAGGGTATGGTGAGGTAGCCTAGTGGTTAAAGCGTTCACTTGCTACACTGAAGACTCAGGTTCGATTCCCCTCATGGGTACAATGTGTGAAGCCCCTTTCTTGTATCTGTTAAGGTTTGAACTGTTTGACCATGTCGTTTTTAATAAAAATGTCTACACCAGGATATATACACAGGTCCACCCCTGTATGTATACAGATCTCCCCCTATATAGAAAGTGAGATCTACCTGTGGGTAAATAGACATATAATCCCAATTAGGTTCAATTAAATTCATATTATTTCGGTTGGCCCATGTGAAATGAGAAAACAGTTTACAATGTAAAGAGTAGCACGTTTTACAGAGAAAAAAGCAGTTAACTTATTACGGAAGATGTAACAGAATTTCTAACAGCAGGAGCTTCTTTCGAAATGTTAAAAAGTGTATGGGCACAATTGCCGCTAGTGAAATGAAGATATTAGTCAGTATGCTATCCTGTCCACAATATGGAATTTATACTTATCTCTAATAAAATTATATGCTGTACATTCAAATTAGTTAGGTTTAGAGGTCTACCCTTGTATATATATAAATCTACACCTGTATATATAGATGTCTTCCCCTATATACTGCAGATGTGAAGCAGTGTTTCCAGGTATGTTTGCTTTTAGTAGGTAGCAGCCATTTTAATCATCCAATCCTCATCTTAGGCACCCTTTACCTTGGGGTCTGCCCAAGAATCCAGGGTTCCTCTTCATATTGTGATCATGCTTCTAGACAGTCCTGCCCTCATGATCTCCCATTTGTTGGAAAAGTAAAACATATTTTAGAAGTATTATGTATTAAATGAAAGTTTCCAGCAAGATGCCTAGGACATATTTTAAAAAGACTTGGTCTCGATGATTTTAGATTTGAAAACTCTAAAGTTGCCATGACCTAATGAGTGAGGAATTGGTGTTTGAGCGAGACATGCTCAAGTGTTTCAGAACACATGGTCATAGTGACCAGGAAGTTAACTGGGGATTCAAACAGTGGTATATGCACTAGCGGAGAGAGATAGGGCCTGACAAAAGCTTTATTTCATAAATAAAGCTTTAGAGAGCCTTTTCTTGGAATTGATCTCGTACCGCTATTGTATATACTACTTCTTCTTTTACAAAAACATCATTTTTTTGTGCTTTTTGCAACTTGTTGTTTCCATGTATTTGCCTTCTGTTTGTTATATGACAGAGATTTCTCCTCCGATATAGTATTATACGTTACAAAAACACATGCTTTCACATCACGACAATCTCATGTTCAGTCTGTATAATTCAAGACTGACATGCATGTATTACTTAGACGTAACATGCTGCCAGTTCAAGATCCCTTGTACAGACACTTGAACTGGCGTTAACTCCTAGCGCCAGGCTTTGTGTTGCTTGGATGATATTCACCTCCAAACATACTGTCTTTCACAATTCATGTTGCTGTTGATAAACAAAGTATTACATAGATGACTCAAGTGAAGTAGTATGTACTCTGTTTTCTTGTATATAGTGAACTCTATTTCCCCATGATCCACATGTGTAGAGACAGGTGTGTATAATGCATACATGCTAGAGATTTACTTGTATTGAAGTATGCGTACTGTTATTTCACTAACACTGTATATCTGGGATATGTTTGTGATGTCATGTTAATGTTACATTTAAATTGCCAAACTTTGGAAACCGGTAACACCGAGCATGTTACATTCCCATACAAAACAAATGTTAGAATGTATCTGATGTCTTGCTGTAGCAGATCATCTGCCAATCCTGTAGAAGTGATTCTCAGAGTTTGGGGCCAAAATGTTTGTAGCTTGTGTGTGTGAAGGGTTGGAGCATCTCCAAGTTCATACTGTTTGTCCATTTTCATCAATTGCACTGATTCAGAATCTTTCAGGAGACAAGTCAAAAGACAAATCTAAAAGACATATATCTAAATCGACCTTCTGTATATGAAATTATTGATTCTGAATGCGGTTCTGCTGTAGATGATCGGTGTTGGGGGAAGTGTTTGCCTAGTGGTAGAACAAAATTCTCATCATGAAAATTTGTTAAAAAGAACAATATTCTGTGAGAAGTAGCCTGCTCATTTGGTCCTGTTTGCTTGTCCGGGTGTGCATTATCGGTACCAATAGTATAACTATACAAGTAAGTATACAAATAGTATATTAATTATACATTGAAATCAAACAGTTCTATTAACTATTTCCTCTCAGTACTTACTTCTGTAGATAAGCATATGAAAAAAGTATTTCTGATACTCATTCTTAGACAACAGTCTATATATACCAGTTACTAATATGTCCCTGTCGACTTACCTTATTCCTGAAGCATAAGCACTATGACATTGTGCTTGCTGTGCTGTTTAGTTTAGTTCTGTAGTTTGTGTAAATCACTCCATGAATATTGACTGTAGGTGCATCATTCATATATAGTGCAATATGAAATCCAAAGCTCCATTCATGCTTGCCTTGTTTTCATCAGACTGGTATTGCAATAAGACATATATGGTTGTTACATATGTTGTTATATTTGGGATTACACTTTCTTAGTAAAGTACAGATGCTAGTACTTTTGCTGGGTTGAGTCCCATCCAGGATTCGAACCCACACCCTCAGCGTCAGGCACACAATCGCCAGCACACACAGTCAGCCGCCTAACCTGCTCAGCCACCGCTGTTTGAGAGAATATCTGTCATAAATATATCTACTCACAGTTCATGGAATCTTGAAAGTTTGAGGTAAAGCCAGTTCTGTTTATTAAGCATTGACACGTGATAGACAAGATCAGCAGTATGTATTTACCTGCCTGGTAACTGGAAATGAATTGGAGAGATTCTTCAAAATAATTTTACAAAATGTTCATTAAAGACCAAAAATGATGAGATACCTCAGACTGGGTCCAGTAATGACTGTTCAGACAGTCAGACAGACAGATTTATTTGTATAAGTGGCCCTGAGGCCAAAAGTACATGTGTAAAATAATAACAGTGCATTTATGCGCAACCTGTAAATACGCGAGTTATAGGAACATCAATAAATCCATAAACACCCATTTACAATTTACATTTTTTCTCTCAACCTAAGTATGTGGTACAACAGAAGGGCTACCTTAAACAACAAGTCAATATTTTCTGTGCAAAGTAGCATACAGAATTTATGACTTGACGGTTGGTTGTAGAAAAAATAAGGCAATTAAGTTTCTCGTATTTCTAAATATTTCGGGCATATATGTAATACATGGTACTCATCTTCTTGCGATAAATTGCAGAATGGACATTGGATATCTATTACATTTGAAGTTTTGGCAAATCATGCTGCTTGGACTTTGAAGTTGTGAGCGTTACATCTAAATTTAGCAAGCGTACGCTTAAGTTGTGGTGATTTAATCTTTGAAATGTAAATTTCTGTATTAATACAATATTTATATTCTGAATAAAAGTTGGCACAGGTTGATGACGTTATTTCATTATGTAATGGCTGTTCAAACTCTAACCAATTGGATCATTGCAGCCTTTGTGGTACCTAGTTCAGGTTAGGTGTTGACTCTATGATACCTGTAAGGGGAATAAGGTGTATAGACTCCTTCCAGCTTGAAGGATATTAAATGAAAACTGTCAAAAGTGTTGCAATGAAGACACTATTGCATAACTGTGAGCAGAAGTGTTATGATGATTATATAATGGAGATTTTGAACATGCTCTTTCTTGTATTGACCGCTAAACTCTACTTGTCTGATGTGTGTGAATAATAACTTTACACATTACAATATGAAAATGGATCATCTGAAATATGTCATATGTATTTAGAATGTGAAGAAAACTGATTTGCACTGTTGTTGCCCGATAACTTGCACATGTATTGAACGTTTATTATGAAAGAAGTATTACTGTTATGGTATGTCATCAATCCAATGCTGTTAATTATAATAAAGTGTGCTGACCTGCTTTGTTAATTGTTGTTTTTACATTCTGGTACCAAGGAAAAGACGATCTTTGTTGTATGAGGGATATAGCTTCTACACAGCGAAGGTCAGAAGGTTGAAGCTTCAAACACTGTTATGACATAAAAACACGCTGAAAACTCGGGTTAGATTCCCCACATTGGTACAATGTGTGAAGCCTGTTTCTGGTGTTTCTGGTGTTTCTGGTGATAATGCTGGAATATTTCTAAAAGCGGCGTAAAACCAAACACTCACTCATACAAAAAATGTTAAAGTACTTCATACCCTGCCTGTCACTCTGAATAAAGGGATAAATCAGAGGAGACTGGATGCTCATGTTATACTGATATGGTTTATAAGCGTACTGCCACAGAGAAACTACCATTTGAAACTGGTACATATACCCATGACACGGATGCATATATGCGCCCATACATACTCTCACGAGCTGATATGTTTGAACTAATTTACAGGTTATATAAGAAAATCCTCCGTTCAAGCCCATTGATTTTCTTCAGTGTGAACACCTTCTGTATACTATCCAGATATTTCAGGTGGTAAATCTTCCTAATATATAGATGCATGTCAATGTTTTTAAAGACTGATTTGAAAAAAATATATATCTTCAGTTAGATCGTCAATAAACATTTGTCTCATTTCTGGTTGCAAGATTGGGAAGAAAAGAATAACTTTGCAGACTATTGCTTCAATCCATTGACCACTGGGTTAAAGCCTTCTATTAGAAAGTCGTGTACTTGGATATTTAATTCATAATGAAGGGCTGCTGGGGTAGACTAGTGGTTATAGCGTTAAGTCTCGGGTTCAATTCCCCACATGGGTACAATGTGTGAAGCCCATATTGCTGGAGTATTGCTAAAAGTCCTGTAAAACCAAACTCACTTATTCCCTTAGTCTTAATGAATACAAATTTCAACAAATGTAAATATTTTAGAATATGTATCTTCCAGACACCAACGGAGATATTTCAACTTATGTACAATATCGCTTACATCAGACTAATCCTGCTCATGTCTGTTCATTTTATTCATAATGAACATTAATTGCACAGGATTACATATCTTACATGGTACGTCTTTCTACCCCAAATTTAGATATGTCAATGTGTAAAATGACTGCTATTGGTTAAGTTCTAATACTGAATCCTAAAGAGCAACAGCAGGGTTTATTTGCAAAACAGAAAGAAAAGAAAAAGTTATAGTTAGCAGAGCGTGGTTTCGATCCACGAACCTCTGGGTTATGGGCCCAGCACGCTTCCACTGCGCCACTCTGCTCTCCCTTTACCTTTCTTTTGCTACGGCACATGTCTCTATCAATAATGCTTGCATCAGATTAATCCTGCTCATGTCTGTTCATTTTATTCATACAAGAACATTAATTGCACTGGGTTACATATCTTACATGGTACGTCTTTCTAACACAAACATAGATATGTCAATGTGTAAAATGACTGGTATTGGTTAAGTTCTAATACTGAATTCTAAAGAGCAACACCAGTGTTTATTTGCAAAACAGAAAGAAAAGAAAAAGTTATAGTTAGCAGAGCGTGGTTTCGATCCACGGACCTCTGGGTTATGGGCCCAGCACGCTTCCACTGCGCCACTCTGCTCTCCCTTCAACTACCTTTCGCTACGTCACATGTCTCTATCAATAAACTTGCATCAGACTAATCCTGCTCATGTCTGTTCATTTTATTCATAATGAACATCAATTGCACAGGATTGCATATCTTACATGGTACGTCTTTCTAACACAAACATAGATATGTCAATGTGTAAAATGACTGGTATTGGTTAAGTTCTAATACTGAATTCTAAAGAGCAACACCAGTGTTTATTTGCAAAACAGAAAGAAAAGAAAAAGTTATAGTTAGCAGAGCGTGGTTTCGATCCACGGACCTCTGGGTTATGGGCCCAGCACGCTTCCACTGCGCCACTCTGCTCTCCCTCCACCTACCTTTTGCTACGGCACCTGCCTCTATCAATAAAGCTACAATCAGACT